TTTCCCTCCTTCAGATTTGGATCTTGAAATGCAGCATCTAGAGATGCAGTAATCATCTAGATACTATGAGAAATGTGCTAAGAAATAATAGAAAACAAAAGGAGCCTTCTTCTTTAGGACATATTCAAGCAGGTACACTAACCCTGTACTGTTTTCCTATTTGTTTGATACCAGGGTTTAACTCCAAGGCCTCTTGCTTGCTTAGCTGCAACAATAGACATTCATTCCCCTCAGTTCTGAGGCTAAAGGCCCAAGTTCAAGGTGTTAGCTGATTGATAGTGAGGGTCTTCTTCTCAGCTTGCCTTCCTACTGTGTCCTGTTGAGTCTTCTCTTTCTCTCACTGTCTCTCTTTCTTTCTCTTGTGCTCTCGTTCTCTCTCTCCCTCCCCACCTTCTTCCTCTCCCTCTTCTATCATGAAATTGCACATTGAACTAAGGGCTTCACACTTCTGAAGCAGGCACCCTACCTCTTGGGCCACACTTCCAGACGTTGTTGTTGTTGTTGTTGTTGTCAGTCATGGGGCTTGAACTCTGGGCCTGGGCACTGTCCCTCAGTTCTTCAGCTCAAGTCTGGTACTCTACCACTTGAGCCACAGAGCCACCTCTGGTTTTCTGAGTGGTTTATTGGAGATAAGAGTCCATGGACTTTCCTGCCCCGGCTGGCTTTGAACCATGATCCTCAGATCTCAGCCTCCTCAGTAGCTAGTATTACAGTCGTGAGCAACCAGCGCTCAGCTTTCTTGCTTGTTTTTTTTTCAGGTAGAGTCTTGCACCTTTTTGTGGGGCCAGGTGTGGACCATCATACTCCTACCTACACCTCCCTCATATCTGGGATTACTGGCATGAGTCACCATGATGACCCTCTCTTTTTTCTTACAAGGATACTAAATCCAGCCGGGCGCTGGGGGTTCACGCCTGTAATCCTAGCTACTCAGGAGGCTGAGATCTGAGGATCGCAGTTCAAAGCCAGCCCGGGCAGGAAAGACCGTGAGACTCCTATCTCCAATAAGCCACCAGAAAACCGGAAGTGGCGCTGTAGCTCAAGTGGTAGAGCGCTCGCCTTGAGCTGAAGAGCTGAGGGACAGAGCCCAGGCCCAGAGTTGAAGCCCCACGACCGACAAAAAAAAAAAAAAAAAGGATACTAAATCCATTATTGGGTTCTACCCTCATGAACTCATCTACATTTAGTCACCTTTTGGAGCCTCACATCCCAATACCATTTCACTGGGGGGGTAGGACTTTAACAAATGAATTTGAGGACATACAGATTCACACAAATTCAGTCCACAAGACCAGAATGTACTTCCTGTGCATCTTTAATTGGCATAACATAAATTCTCTTATGGCTCTTGAGCTGTAGGAAAGACAGCAGCTGCCTCTTGTGTGAATGTGACTGCTCTTTACACTCTGCTCACAGGTCCCTTGCTGTGTCCCTTGCCAATGGTGGCAAACACAAGGCAAGGGCAAAGCCAACAGTGAAAGCCATCATGTTTTAAGAGTGGAACCATTGGGGCCATAACATGGTTGGAAAAAATCTGTTGTTCTCTTGTCTCTGAAACAAAATTCCAAGGTTGGAGGTATGGCTCAAGTAATAGAGCATTTACCTATCAAGCATGAAGCTCTGAGTTCAAACTTCACACTAAATAAATAAAATTAAGAGGCCAGGAATGTGGTTTAGTGGTAGAGTGCTTGCCTAGCATGCATGAAGCCCTGGGTTCAATTCCTCAATACCACATAAACAGAAAAAAGCCTGAAGTTGTGCTGTGGCTCAAGTGCTAGAGTGCTAGCCTTGAGCAAAAGAAGCTCAGGGACAGTGCCCAGGCCCTGAGTTCAGGCCCTATGACTGGCAAAATTAAAAATAAAAATAAATTAAGTAAAACAAATTCCCAAATAGTAAATTTTACATGACCATAGAATAAACAGCTCATATTTCCCCACATACTCTGGATAAAACTTCTATTTGTAGTTCTTCCTAGTAAGGCACAGCCCAATCTAAGAGCCAGCCATCCACTTATAGACAACAAATCTTCAGGAGCACTGATCTATCCAGCAGTGAGTAAACATTAGGGAACTGCATTGGTAAGAATATCCATACTAATCCGGGTGCTGGTGGCTCACACTTACAATCCTAGCTACTCAGAAGGTTGAGAACTGAGGATTGAGGTTCAAAGAAGGAAAGTATGAGACTCTTATCTCCAATTAACCATCAGAAGACAGGGAGTGAAGCTGTGACTCAAAGTGGTAGAGCACTAGTTTCAAGCAATTAGAGCTCAGGGACAGTGCCCAGGCCCAGAATTCAAGCCCTACAACTGACAAAAAAAAAAAGGAGGGGGAATGATATCTGCATTTTTTGCAAACAATATTGGCACTGGATCTTTCATGGCCTATGACTGCCATAGCTGGTGTCCACCGTCTCAAGCACCCCTGAATCTGTCTTCACTCTTCAGGGAACCATTTTTCACTGAGTCCCAACTGCCAACCTAGACCCTTACTCATGCCCCAGAATCCCCAAAACATTCTTTTTTTTTTTTTTTGTCGGTCATGAGGCCTGAACTCTGAGCCTGGGCACTGTCCCTCAGCTCTTCAGCTCAAGGCTAGCACTCTACCACTTGAGCCACAGCACCACTGCTGGCTTTTTCTGCTTATGTGATACTGAGGAATCAAACTCAGGGCCTCATGCATGCAAGGCAAGCACTCTACCACTGAGCCACCATCCCAGCCCAATTTTTTTTTTGCCAGTCCTGGGGCTTGAACTATGGGCCTGGGCACTGTCCGTGAGCTTTTGCTCAAGGCTAGCATTCTAATCACTTGAGCCACAGTGCCACTTTCAACTTCTACTGTTTATGTGGTACTGAGGAATCAAACCCAGGGCATCATGAATGCTAGGCAAGCACTCTACCACTAAGCCATGTTCCCAGCCCCAAAACATTCTCTTCTTAGTAAAAATAGTTTAATTCACAGCACCTCCCATTTGGAGGGTGTGTTTGCTGTTTTATTTTTAACACTAGGAGACTTTGGATACACTAAAATCAATACCAGTAGGTGAGGCTTGTGCTGGACATAGTGACCTGGCTTTCAGAAGGCTCAGAAATATATAATATAGGGGCTGGGAAGGTGGCTCAGTGGTAGAGCGCTTGTTTTGCATGCATGAGGCCCTGGGTTCAATTCCTCAGCACCACACAAGCAAAAAGAAAAAAGCCAGAAGTGGCACTGTGGCTCAAGTGGTAGAGCACTAGCCTTGAGCTGAAGAGCTGAGGGATAGCGCCCAGGCCCAGAGTTCAGGCCCCATGACTGGACCCCACCCAAAAAAAGAAATATATGATACAAGATTCATCAGGCATATCTGGTACAGATATGGCCTTGTTCTGTCAAGAAGGGAGAAGGGGGATTCTGGAGAGTGGGGAGTCCAGACTGGAGCAGCTTCTTTAAGCTCCTACAAAGGCCTTCCTGTCAATTAGACATCCTTGAAACACTTCTTTACATTGCCCTTGAACATTTTTCTTTCTTTTTTTTTTTTTTGCCCTTGAACATTTCTAATCTATATCCACAATGTCCAATAAAGGTGAGTACAATGACACTGAGTACTTTCAAGTGTGGCTAGTCTAAGTTGAAATGAGATATAAAATGTTGACCAAGTAGCCAGACACTGGTGGCATAAGACTGTAATCCTAGATACTCAGGAGGCTGAGATCTGAGGATTGAGGTTCAAAGCCAGCCAGGATAGAAAAGACTATATGTGATTCTTTTTTTTTTTTTTTTTTGGTGGTCACAGGGCTTGAACTCTGGGCCGGAGCACTGTCCCTCAGCTCTTCAGCTCAAAGCTACCGCTCTCCCACTTGAGCTACAGTGCCATTTCTGGTTTTCTGGTGGTTTATTGGAGATAAGAGTTTCACAGCCGGGCTGGGAAGGTGGCTCAGTGGTAGAGTGCTTGCCTTGCATGCCTGAGGCCCTGGGTTCGATTCTTCAGTACCACATAAGCAAAAAGAAAAAAGCCGAAAATAGTTCTGTGGCTCAAGTGGTAGAGCGCTAGCCTTGAGCTGAAGAGTTGAGGGACAGCACCCAGGCCCAGAATTCAGGCCCCATGACCGGACCCCCCCACCAAAAAAAAAAAGTTTCACAGCCTTTCCTACCCAGGCTGGCTTTGAACTGTGATCCTCAGATCTTAGCCTCCTGAGTAGCTAGGATTATAGGTGTGAGCCACTGGTGCCCAGCTAAAAATTTTATCAATGTTTTCCAGTTGTGGGGCTTGAACCTCAGGGTCTGAATGCTGTCCTTGAGCTATTTTGCTCAAGGCTAGCACTTACAGTGCTACTTCTGGTTTTTGAGTGGTTAATTCAGGATAAGAGTCTCATGGGGACTCTTCTGCCCGGGTAGGCCTCGAACTGTAATCCTCAGACTTTAGCCTCCTGGATAGCTAGGATTACAGGTGTGAGCTACCAGCACCTGGCAATAATTTGTGTGTGTGTGTGCGCGCGCGCGTGTGGGTGCTGGTCCCAGGGCTCAAACTCAGGGCTTCAGCACCGTCTCTGAGCTTTTGTGCTAAGGCTAACTCTCTACCAATTTGCGCCACAGCTCCATTTCCTGCTTTTTGGTAACTAACTGAAGAGTCTCACAGACTTTCCTCCATGGGCTGGCTTTGAACCTTGATCTTCAGATCTCAGTCTCCTGAGACTGGTGCGCCACTAATGATTTCTTTTTCTTTTGCAGTACAGTGGATTGAATCTAGAGCTGTATAATGCTAAGTAAGTGCTCTACCACTGAGCTACATCCCTAATCCCTTTATTAATTATGCTTAATATTAAGCTGGCTGTGGTGGCACACACTTGTAATCTCAGCACTCAGAAAGTAGAAACAGGACCATCTAGGCTACATATTGAGATTGCTTAAAAACAAAAACCGTACAAATTGTTAATATTGATGAGCTGCTGGAATAATAGCAATTAAAAAAATATATCACGGATAACTAAAAAACACTAAAGTTTTGCTTTATTTCAGGTTACATCTTGTCCCATTGTATTCTGACTTGATGCTCACATGTAGTCTCCATCAATTACTTCACAAGTCCCTGGTGGCAGGTAATGATTTCCTGGTAGGATTGTGGCTCTTCTAGATAGTAATCCTGCTCTGACCACTCCTGCAATACTCTTCCAGAGTCCTGGGGTTAATCCTGCTGCACATGATAGTGGGAGGGAAGAACATAGGCTATTTAGGTATTGGCTGAAAGGTGGCTGGTGTCCCCATCCATGTCAGCTCACAAGTCCAGTCTGCAAGATGACGGTCTAGATGGGAACGAGGGTTTATATTAGGGAGACTAGAGAGATAGCCTTACAAACAGCTGGGAACAGCTAGTCAGTGCCTTATTTCCAGTTTCCCAGAGGGAGCCAGTGGCTGGCAGAGTGAGCATGCTCCGGTGAAATCAGCTGGCAAGTACCTATTTCACACACCAGCAAGTGGGGAACCGACTGGACTGCTCCTCCTGTGTAATACAGATCCTTTCATTCCTCTAAACCGGTCTCCTTGTTTGTAAAGTAGGGGATAATTAAATGTACCCCACTGGGTTGTTGTAAGGATTAAATGAAGTAGTTGTATATATGGAGGTGACATTTAATTAAAGCCTAATTGACAGTAGTGATGACCACCAGATTATCCATCAAGGAAGTACATAATGTTGCCTTCATAGATGAAGCTGTCACAGTGACATTTTGCATTTGTTCTTTGATTTAAACTGCCACTAATCTATATACACTCATCAGATAAAAATAGCTGACATTTACTGAATATTCAGCATGAGGTAGGTTCTGTGTCATACATTCAACACACATTATCTTATCTTACCCTTGCCATTAGAGGGCTGTTTTGTGTGTGTGTGCATGCACGTGCCCTGTTATAAGGTCTTGAACTGTGGGCCTGGGTGCTTTTTTCACTCAAGGCTGGCACTCTATCCTTGAGTCCCAGCTGTACTGGCTTTTTGGTGGTTCACTGAAGATAAGTGACTTTGCTGCCTAGGCTGGGTTTGAACCACGATCCTCAGATCTCAGCCTCCTGAGTAGCTAGGATTCCAAGTGAGGTGTTATTCTGTGGTCAAATTATACAGGCCCAAAACTGAGACCCAGGGAGGCAAAATAACATGGTCCAGGTCAAAGCAATTAAGTGATCATGTAAGAAACTGACAGGTTCTTACAAGTTCACTTAGCTTCTGGACTGCATGCTTGGTAGGGCACCTGGTACCATGGTGGCAGTAGCCATGGAGGCAAAGGGGCTTGCATGAGCCATTCCTGGTGTACACTGTCTAGACCACCACCATCCTTAAATGCTGACTGACACCTTCCAGGTGTGAGGCACCATGCTGCTTTGTCTTTTGTCTGTAATAACTCATGTGCTCACTCTAGTAACAAGCACAGTGGTATGCATTTGGGGTGGGGGGAAGACTGAGCTAGGTGCCAGTGGCTCATGCCTACTTACTTAGAAGGCTGAGATCTGACAGTCACAGTTCAAAGCCAGCCTGATCAAGAAATGTCAGGAAGACTCCTATCTCCAATTAACTACCAAAAAAGCCAGTAGTGGAGCTATGGCTCAAAGTGGTAGAGTGCTAGCCTTGTGCAAAAATACTCAAGGATAGAACCTAGTCCTCGAATTCAAACCCCAGGGTCACCAAAAAGAGAAGGAAAAAAAAGGAGTGGAATTTTGATTATGGCCACACCCTCTAAAAACTCAGAAAAGACCAAATCTCAGGCCTTGAGGTAAATCTAACTGCTGTCCACAATGGCCTAGTACAGCACCAATGTGGTTTGTAATTTGAAATATTATTCTCTACCTGTAAGTTTTCTAGAAATAACTCATCATGAGACAGGAACAGTACTCTGCACCCCTGAGTACAGCTCTTAAGACTGTTACTTTGACTGTTGGTTTCTTCAGCCCTTTTTTTTTTGGTTGTGGGGCTTGAACTCTGGGCTTGGGCACTGTCCCTGCACTCTTCAGCTCAAGGCGAGTGTTCTACTGCTTGAGCCACAGCGCCATTTCCGGTTTTCTTGTGGGTTTTATTTGAGATAAAAGTCTCATGGACTTTCCTGCCGGGGCTGGCTTTGAACCACGATCCTCAGATCTCAGCCTCCTGAGTAGCTAGGATAACAGGCATGAGCCACTGGCGCCCGGCTCTTCTTCAGCCCATTCTTACGCTCTCAACATATAGAGGAGTGTAAGGAATCAGCTGATCATCACAGGTATTGGTTGTCCCTCCACTGAGCTGTGAATGGGGGGCAGGCAGTACTAACAGGCGTAGGTGCAACCTGGGACTGTTTGTCTTGCCCTATCCAGACATTCATAGTCTGGTCCCAATCTCAGTCTCCCTCACTTACCCCCAGGCACTCATCTCACCATCGTCGAATGGACTCTTCAGCCCCCCAGCAGTGCCCCTGCTAGACCTCAGGAGTCTGGTAGCCCGTTCCACCCCAGCCCCTTTGGAGAGTTAGCCAAAAGACAGAAACACACAGCACATCCTTGGAATCACTGCTTGAGGAAACAATCCACAAAGGTCAACCAACCTATGGGCCTTTATCTGCCTACCACCCACAAGGGATTGTTCAAGCTGAGTTCAAATCTCACATCCACCTCATCTTCCCAGGTTTTATTCAGTTTTCACTGTGGGGATTCTTACCTGTATGAAAAGGGAAAGACTGGCCCCTGGAGCCCACCTTCCATACCCAGCCCCCCTGAAGCACAGAAAAACTAGTAATCAAGCACACCAATCAATGAAAAACAACAAAAAGCAATGGAACACATTTCAAAGTTTATTGAGGTGGATCAGACTTTTATGGCAAAGAATAACTATAAAAGAGCCAGTGGATGGGCTGGGAATGTGGCTTAGTGGTAGAGTGCTTACCTAGCACACTTGAGGCCCTGGGTTCAATTCCTCAGTACCACATACACAGAAAAAGCTGGAAGTAGCACTGTGGCTCAAGTAGTAGAGCTAGCCTTGAGCAAAAGGAGCTCAGGGACAATGTCCTGAGTTCAATCCCCAGGACTGGCCAAAAAAACCAAACAAACAAACAGTGGTGGGGTATGTGCTGGTAATCCCACCACTTAAGAGGTCAAGGTGTAGGATCACTTGACATTAAGAATTTGAGGCTGGGAGCTGGTGGCTCAGGAGGCTGAGATCTGAGGATCATAGTTTAAAGCCAGCCTGGGCAAGAAATTCTGTGAGACTCTTATCTCCAATAAACCACCAGAAAACCGGAAGTGGTGCTGTGGCTCAAGAAGTAGAGCACTCCAGCTGAAGAGGTCAAGGACAGCACCCAGGCCCAGAGTTCAAGCCCCATGACCAAAGGAAAAAAAAAAAAAAAAAAAAGAATTTGAGGCCAGCCTGAGCAAAAAAAAAAATTAGGGCGACCTCAACTCAAAAGAACACAAGCCAGGGGCTGGGAAGGTAGCTCAGTGGTAGAGCGCTTTCCTTGCATGCCTGAGGCCCTGGGTTCGATTCCTCAGCACCACATAAGCAAAAAGAAAAAACCCAGAAGTGGCGCTGTGGCTCAAGTGGTAGAGCGCTAGCCTTGAGCTGAAGAGCTGAGGGACAGTGCCCAGGCCCAGAGTTCAGACCCCACGACCGGACCCAAAAAAATAAAAAAAAACAAGCCAGGTGTGGTAGATCATGCCTGTAATCCCAGCCACACAAGGAGCAAAATAGGACTAAGAAGAGTCCAGGCAAAACCCACTACAATAAATAAAGGGCTGGAGTGGTAGAGCATATGTTTAGCAAGCACAAGGCCACAGTGCAAAACCCAGCACTACAAAAGAAAAAAGAAAGCCCAACCAAACCAAACAGGGTCTGTTGAAACTACAGACCAGACTTGTGGCATTGCTGTGATGGGGCAGAGCTAGCAGGTCTCCAAGATTTTCCTTTTGTGTCCTGTCAGTATCTGTGACCATGACAATACCTCCTGGCAGTAACTCACCATGAGGAGACCCTGGCAAGGGCTTCGGTCCCTGAGGCTTCCTTCCTTTGGGCCTCCAACATCATTTCATCTTTCTTCAAGCTGACACCAATGAAAATGTCCCCAATGGACAAGGGATAAGCGGCCAGGTTTCTTCTGTACCAAGCTCACAGCAGAAAATAATGTCCCTACAGAACAGGAGACAGAGAAACCATCTTGAAGTCAAAAACAGCTCCTTGCAGGGAACTGAGCAAATGTTCAGTGGCAGATGGACAGCCCAAGGACGTACTCTCAGAATATTTTTTTCTTTTTCTTTTGTTGGTCATGGGGCTTGAACTCTGGGTCTGGGCGTTATCCCCGAGCTCTTCAGTTCAAGGCAAGCGCTCTGCCACATGCTATTTTCTGGTGGTTAATTAGAGACAAGAGTCTCATGGACTTTCCTGCCTGGGCTGGATTTGAGCCATGATCCTAATACCTCAGCTTCCTGAGTAGCTAGGACTATAGGTGTGAGCCAACGGTGCCCAGCTCAGAATCTTTACAGAAGGTATTCAGCAGTGTTTCTCATGGTCCCTCCATGCTGCCCTTACTGGCTGGCCCTAGGAGTTTCAGTTCACTCAACTTCTGCGACCCTTATGCTGTGTTGCCCAACACCTTCCTATTGCCATCATGCTGTCTTCTCTCAAAGGCCTGCCAGTCCCACCACTTCCTAAAGGCTTCTAAAAACCCCGTGAAAGTGACTGCAAGGCACCACCTCTGTGCTTAGGCATTATGCTTAATTACCTGGCTCCTCCCACCAATCCTACACCTTGCTCCACACTTTGCTCACTAGTAACGGAGGCCCAACTAAGCCCAAGCCCAAATGTCTCCCATCACTGCCACTCATGATCAAGAGGGAAAAGTATTGGCAGAAAAGCAGCAGGAGCAGGAAGGAGTGTGTGAAAGCGCCAGCATTTGAAAGGGACAGGTGTGAACCCTCCAAACACGGGAAATGGCTTTCAGGGGTTCATCTCCCTGCAGCATGGATGATCAGAGCACAGACAGCCCAGGATCACTTTCCAATGCAGGTACACACATGGGCAGAGCAGGCCCAGGGAGGGAGCTGAAGCCAGTGGCATGTAACACAGCCAAGGCCCCTAGGTGTGTCCCTTCTTTCCTATAAGAGCCCCACAGAACCTCCCTGCCAAGGAGAACGGAAGTCATTCTGGGAAGATACTGGACAAACATCAGGGTTGGAAAGGGTAGGAATCACAAGGCATCAAGCCAGGCAGGATGGGCAGTGGATCTGGGGACCCACAGTGCCACCTTCAGCTCACTTCAGATGCCCTACACCATCACTCAACTCATCCATCCATGGGAACATGCACAGGACCATGTCAGAAGCAAGGGACCAGTGCTACAAGGACTAGACCAGAGAGCATACCTCAAGGATGTGCATCTAGAATGTTCTTGTCTAACAAGACAGCTCCCGTGGCACACAATGGCCTCACCTGCAAGAGACAAAAAGCCCTCATGAACACTCAGCTTGCCACTGCTTGTGGCAGGACAGAGCAGGCACCAGAGGAGGACTCTACACAGTAGTTACCAGACAAGAAGCAATCCAAGCTTACTGGTTATTTCCTGAGCAAAAAGAGTTAATTCAAAAGGGGAAGAGGGTGGATGGTCTACAGCTGGGTAGCAAGAACTGGTCAGAAGGTAACCAGTAATGCAGTGAAGCAGAAGCCAGGGTCTGTGGAAAGGGTATACCATGGCTAACTAGAAGTGATGGTAACTAATGGGAACTTAAGGAACACAAGTGATCTGTTTCCCAAAGCAGGGGGTAGCAAGTCCCAATAATGAGTACACACATGGTGTCCCCCCAGTGGTCTAGAGGTCCAAGATGTGTGCAGAGTTGGCAAGCAGGAGTGAAGGAAAGCTCCTGAAAATGGAAGGTAAGGATGTGGACCCTCCAAACACAGGACAATTCTTCCACATTTTCTTTGCCTGCACAATGACCAGGACATGGGTATCCCTAGATCACCTATAAATGCAGAGCTAGAACAGACATAAGGCTTGCTATATAAGGCCAAGGGCAGAAGCCTGAAGAGCCAGGACAATCAAATAGAGTACAAAGACACAGCAAGTGCTTCTAATCCTACCGAAGTTACTACAATATGGCCAGTAAATGGAGCAAAGTGAAGGGGAAAAAAAACTGCATTGGATTCTTTTAAGGAACCAGACACACCTTAAAGCTCCAAGGAGGCTAAATCCAGGAGTGAGAATAAAGCCACTTTCATCCCACCATTATTCCCATACTACATCATTCTTGGGGAATCTGTGTCCTCCTTAGGGGGCTGCAAAACCTCAGCCCTCTGGAGTGAAGAGCTCACCTTGGGAGCACTGTGGTCCAGCTGCTTCCTGGAAAGAAGCAGCTCCTCTGCACCAAGATGCCTCCTCTGCCACCAACAGGACTGGTCATACCTGTCCTGCTGCGCACACAGTTTTGGCTTTACAATGGTGGGCTGTTATGATTAATCCATGAGCCACATCGTTCCTCATAAAAGAGGTTGACCACTAAGGACAACAGACCGTCTAAGACACAGAGATTTTGTTTTTTCAGGTCTTTCATGCAAACTCTGATGGAACTGCAGATTCCAGAAAGTTCCCTTGTTGACTGGGATCCATCTCCTGCCAAAGAACCCCCACAATGGAAAAATACTTGCTGTCAATGCGCCAAAATTTAGGGACTCTAAGTGCTCTTCTATCGTTACTTCCGATAAAGATTATTTGTCCCCATTAAAAGAGCCCCCCATCGAGTATCTACTTGTAGTTCTCCGTCTCCGTCCCCGTCCCCGCCAAGCAAAAGTCGCCAAGGTCTCTGTCCTTACCCAGCCTTACAGAAAGTACAGTTCAGGAGAAGTGCAGGCAAGTCTGGACCTACAGATTTTGTGGAGAAGGGGCTTTCTGGCCTCTGGCATCCCATGCTACATGTGGCTTCCCTAGGCGCTGGGCCTTTCGTACTTCTCAAAATCCGGCTGAGCTCAGACCACAACCCTCTGTCCATGCACAGGGAAGGCAATCCCAGGCCGCTGGGGCAGCACCGCTCACCCGTCCTCTCCATGGACAGAGGAAGCCCACCAAGGAGCAAGGGGCGCGGATAAGGGTGCTTCAGGGGAGGGGCTGCAGGCTGCGGGGGCTCCAACGTCTCCATCTGTGTCCGGGACAGCCGCAGGCCTGGGCAGGGAGAGGCTGGGGATGGGGTTTTAAGGCAGGCGCTCGGGGATCTGGATGCTGCCCCGGGAGGAGGGGGGGGTCCCCAACTCTAACTCGGCCTAGGCTGTAAAGTGGAGGCCTGGGGAGGCTGCAGGTGGGAACGCGGTGCAACCTCCGATCCCGTGTCGGAAGCCACAGGCGGCTTCGGGCCCTCGGAGGCCAGGTCAGTGAGTGGAGTGCGCACCCCCGCGGGCCGCCCAGCCCGGGTCACAGGCCGCTGTGCTCCTGCTGTGGTAACTCGAGCACCCACCCGGGGCCTCTCTGCGACCTCTACGACCTCTGTTTCCTCTGCTTGAGGGAGAAGCAGCGCGGGTCTCGAAGGCCTCTGGGGGTCCCGCGGAGAGACCGCCCAAGCACGCACTCGCAGTGACCTCACCAGGGACGCAGGGTCTGGGGGCGCAGGAAGGTGACGTAGGCGGGAAAACGCGCCCCGTGCCGCAGTGTACGGGATCGCGTCTGCAGGGCGGAGCTGCGGCTGCGCGCGCCGGCTCCGGCCTAGAGCGGCGCCTCCGTCCGCCGAACCCGAGCCAGCAACCCTGCAGCGCCCCCTCGAGGACCGGAGCTGAAAACCCACCACCACATCCAAAGTCGCACAGTATTATGTGTCAAGAGCTAGCTGGCCTAAGTGTCAGAGCCCAGGTGCACAAGGTACCTCTCACTGTTTCATAGATGTTGCGAGAGGACAGAAAATTCGAAGGTCACAGCCAAGGACTTTATTGTTCATGGCAAAAGCAGTAAACAGCTTCATGTTCACCTTGGGGCCTCAGGCTGTTGGGCAGTAATGTGCTCATAATGGGTGAATCTTATAGGAAAGCAAGACTGAGTGTGGAGGAGCTGTCATTTTCCCTTCCTTCCTTCCTTCCTTCCTTCCTTCCTTCCTTTTCTTTTTTGTCATGGGGCTTGAACAAGAAGGCCTCATTTTCATAGGGCACAGAGAAGTAAGCCTGCTTGTAGTGTAGGAGGAGTGTTTACCTTGCATCATAGAGTATTTCAAGACAAACAGCCAAGGGAAATGACAGTTAGGGTCTTGTTCTTGTGACACACCCTGTGAGAATGTGCATAGATGCTCAGAGCCCATGATCTATTGTCTCTTGCAACAGGAGGTATGAGAATGAATACCAGGGCTGGGAATGTGGCTTAGTGGTAGAGGGCTGAGAGACCAAAAATAAGTTCGGCAGTAACAAAACTATAAAGAAAGCATCTGTCATCTGTTTACTGGAGGATAAGTGTTAGCGCCTGCTCCAAGACAATGTAACAGTATCAGCACAGTCCAAGAGGTCAGACCACCCTGATCGGTCACCCCCAACCCTGTTGGGAAGCAATTTAGGACAGGAAAATGAATTAGCATTCCTGTAGTTAGCCCTGCTTACCTGCTTACCTCTACCAATGACATGTTTGCTATATATGATTTAACCTATCCTATAGCCATTAAGCTGGAAAGCCTCTACCCTTACTAGATATGATTATATCCCTAACCAATGAGCTTGAGCAAGATTCACCCACAAACCAATTACATAACAATGTTGTAATGATCCTTCCCCCTGCTACACACTCAATAAAAACTCTGCTGGACAAGGGGTCGGGGCTCACAATTGCCAACCTGCTGTGTCAGGAAGGGTTGTGAATCCTGCTGTAGCTGTAATAAACGACTCTCGTGCATTTACATTGGTGACGGTTCCCTGGTGATCTTTTTTTTGGGGGGGGGGGGTGTCTACGGCATGGTACTACAGTGCTTGCCTAGCATACATGAAACCCTGGGTTCGATTCCTCAGTACCACATAAACAAAAAAAGTCAGAAATGACACTGTGGCTCAAGTGGTAGAGTGCTAGCTTTGAGCAAAAAGAGCTCAGGGACAGTGCCCAAGCCCCACAACTGACATAAATAAACAAATAATCATTCCACAGTAGAGAAATGAGGGGGAACCATGACTATCCATTTTCAGAACTGGAAATTAAGTAGGAGCAAAATTAGGTCACTAAAGCAAGTTACCTGAAGATTGACTGTGAGGGCAAGAGACAAGAGAGGCCTGTGTGGCCTCAAGTGTACACACCTGAGCTCCTGCTAGCGTCCTAAGCCACAGCATTCTGTGGTTGTTTCCCATCACCAAGACCTCTTTATAGCCTCAGTCTCAAAACCCATGGGCTTCTGCAAGGTATGGAATATTAAGTGTTCTTACTCTTTGAGACCTCCATTTTCCTATGGTTACACAGGACAAGACTGGATTTCCTTGTTCTGAGAGAATAAGTACCATCAGTCTGCTTAGAGAGTCTCCTCCTCCAGCCCAAGGGTAGAGCTGTTCTGGGTGCAAGAGGCACACATGGACATACATCCAGGATGCAAGCAGATGTGATGATGAGAATCTAGGGGCCTGGGCTTCCTCCCAAGCCTGTCCTCCCTAGGCTACCAGGCTCACTGTCATCTGTTTGTTATCTCTACTACTATATGAATCCTGATCATATTTTTTTGGGGGGGGTCCAGTCGTGGGGCCTGAACTCTGGGCCTGGGCACTGTCCCTCAACTCTTCAGTTTAAGGCTAGTGCTCTACCACTTGAGCCACAGCGCCACTTCTGGCTTTTTTTCTTTTTGCTTATGTGGTACTAGGGAATCAAACCCAGGGCCTCATGCAGGCAAGGCAAGCGCTCTACCACTGAGCCACCTTCCCAGCCCCCTCCTGATGATATCTTTTCTTCTTCAAGAATTTGCTTGCCAACCTTTGTATGTTGGCAATAAAGTTTAGCAAAGAATTCATGCTCCTCTCTGTGCTCATCTCCTTCTCACCCTTAGATTCCAGTATCAGGCCATGACTAACATGTCAGTGCAGTCATATCCAAAGCAATGCACACATTAAAAAGCCACTCATTTGTTTGACTGTGGCCAAGGTATTATTGTACAGTAGAGAATGTGACATACCGATGGACACTTGCAGAAAGAAAGACAAACCACTTGAGTGTGGTGGCGCATACTTGTAATCCCAGATACTTGGGAGACAGAGGGAGGAGGGGTTGTGGTCAGAAGCTGGTGAGTAAAAATGCACGACCGTACCTTGCATTAGAGCAGAAACAAACCAAAGAAGAAATGTCTGGATGTGTGGTCCAAATGGTAAGGCCATCTGTCTGGCCACTGCAAGGCAGAGAGACAGGGACAGAGAGGGGGGAGGGAGAGGGAGAGAAAAGGGGGGAAGAAGGAGGGGAAGGGAAGGAGGGAGAGAGGGGAACATATTCCCCAGACTAGCAACAGATCTTACTGTGGAAGACTAGACCATTCATATGGGTTAATTAGAAAAATCAGCGGCCAAGAGACAAACAGATAAGCAAAGCAAGTTCAGTACAGTTTTATCACCAGTTACAGGCTGAAAATGGATGCCAAGTCCTCTGAGCAGAGGTTGACCTCCTCTCCACCAGAGGCACTGCGGGCGCTCCACAAGGGGCTGCACGGTGGATGCGCCGCTCTAGGCTGCAGGCGGCGCTCTCAGCTGCACTTCCGTTAGCACTTCCGCTGGCGCGGAGCGATTTAACCGAGTCCCTGCGTCGTGGCCGGAGTTCCCGGTGTTTCTGTGCCATCCTCGGCCATCGCCGAAATCTCTGAACATCCGCCGTCTTTGCCGCCTGCTCGTTCTATCTCTACCATCGCCCAGCGACATCACGTCGGGTGAGTTCACCGCGTGGCGCGTGGCAGCGGCGCTCCCTCCACGTGGGAAACTGAGGCGGGGAGGGCTGGGGGGGGAAGACGAGGACGCTCCTGGAGTCGGGGTCGGGCCGATTCGGCTCCGCCGGGGCCTCCTGGGGCTCTCGTGTCCGGAGAAGGGGCCGTGGGTGGGCAGCAGCTGTGCCCGCGGGCGTGGGCCGGGTGGGCCCCGGTCCCACGTGGGCTCCCCTTGGGGCCACTGAGGTTGCCAGCGGAGAACGGGACCGTTGACTCGTGTTCCCACCCCCACGAGCGCTACGAGTAGTTTGTGGCCGGCTTAGCAGATGTTAAATGTGGGACGCCCCAGGAACTCCAGGGGCAGCGTCTGGACCCCTGCGCGCCTGCCTTGGACACTGGCTGAAGCGCCTTCTCCGTCTTCTCCCTGCCCAGGCCTGCGGCTATCCTGGAGAACGACGGAAACTTCCTTCAGTTGGAGATGCTGGAGCCGCAGCAACCCACACCCCACACCCGGCAGCACTTTAGTCAGCTCCCTCACGGTTCCTTCTGCCCTTGGCAAGGACGCCCAGGGAAGCGGTGATGTTCTAGAGCACTTTGAGGTACAGTGGCCTCAGATTGTCGGGTGAGGGGTGAGGAGAAGAGCTCAGCCGGGTCAAGAGACTGGGGGTGCTGGGCGCGCTGGTGGCTCACACTTGTAACCCTAGGTAATCCTTGTAAACCTGGATCTCAGGGGGCTGAGGTCTGAGGATTGCGGTTCAAAGCCAGCACGCGCAAGTCTGTGAGACTCTTATCTCCTATTAACCATCAGAAAACCGAAGTGGCACTGTGGCTTAAGTGATAGAGTGCTACCTTTCAGCTGAAGAGCGGAGGGACAGCACCCCACCACCGACACACATAAAAAGAAACAGAGAGAGACAAAGAGAGAGAATAAGAGAGTGAGACTCGGGGTCAAATGAGCTTCATTCTCCTGAACTTTACTTTGTGTGAGGAGCAGAAGCTATAAAAGATTGGGGAGAGTGGAGCTTGATTTTGTGTCTTGGTTTGAACCTGATGCTTGACTACATGTAGAATACTTACTATTTATGAAATGAGTGAAAAACTTTTTTTTTTTCTCCAGAAACAGATGGTCTTTTTTGTATGTTTTTTTTTTTTCTTTTCTTTCTTTTTTTTTGTCAGTCGTGGGGCCTGAACTCTGGGCCTGGGTGTTGTCCCTCAGCTCTTCAGCTCAAGGCTACCACTTGAGCCACAGTGCCACTTCCGGCTTTCTCTGTTTATGTGGTACTGAGGAATTGAACCCATGCATGCAAAGTGAGCTCTCTACCACTGAGCCCCAGCATGTATTTTCTTGTTAGGACAGAAAGAATCTTTTTAGGCTGGCACTGGAGTTTGAACTCGGGCCTGAGTGCTGTCCCTTAGCTTTTTCGCTTAAGGCTGGTACTCTACCACTTGAGTCACAGCTGTACTTCTGGCTTTTTACTGTTTAATTGGAGATAAGTGTCACAGACTTTACTGCCCAGGCTGGCTTCCGACCCAGATTTTCAGATCTCAGCCTTCTGAATAGTTGAAGATTCTGCCTGGCAGAATTGAAAGGATGGTTTAAGTAAGCATCCATTCTTGGACTATTAGTGGGCATTAACAGCTAATGTGGGCTTCTCTTCCTGGCTGCCCCCCTTTGGTCCTTTTCTGCCCCTGCATTCGAAAGTGATTGTGGGCTGCTGGTGCCCTGGTCATTGATAGTGCAGGGAAAGGAATGCTGAAAGCTTTTCCCCGTGTTTGGAAGGTCCATTCCTGTCCTTACCAAACCCTACAGCTTTCTCACACATCTCCTCCCGCTGGTTAGATCCCTCCCTGAATCTGCCTTTAATGAGTCCTTGTTCCCTGGTCTGGGCAGGTTCCTGTGAGATATGGAAGAGTGCGGAAGCTTGGGTGAGGCCTTCAGACATGAATTTGGGTTGGAGTGGAGCCCTGATAGTGACCATTTCCTTCTTCCTCTGGCTTTTTCTGCCATTTACCTTTAGCCACTTATACCCCCTTCTGCTGTAATCAGACCCTGTAGAACACGTGGCTTTGCTTATTTCCTATCTCCCCCTGGGTCTTGAGAGCAGTGTCTGTTTTGTTCTGTTGTAGAACAAGCAGACAAATGAGAAAGAGGGGTGAGAGAGTCTATCTTCTTTTTTTTTTGGTCGGTCCTGGGGCTTGAATTCTGGCTGTTGCTCAGCTCTTCAGCTCCTAGCATTCTACCACTTGAGCCACAGCACCACTTCTAGCTTTTTCTGTTTATGTGGTGCTGAGGAATGGAACCCAAGGCCTCATGCATGCAAGGCAAGCACTCTACCACTGAGCGGCCACCTTCCCAGCCTCTTAAAAGAATTCTTTTTTTTTGGGGGGGGGGGTCGGTTGTGGGTCTTGAACTCTGGGGCTAGGTGCTGTCCCTCAGCTCAAGGCTAGTGCTTTACCATTTGAGCTACAGCACCACTTCCAGTTTTCTGGTGGTTTATTGGAGATAAGAGTCTCACAGATTTTCCTGCTCAGACTGGTTTTGAACTGCGATCCCCAGATCTCAGCCTCCTGAGTGACTAGGATTACAGGCATGAGCCACTGGCTCCCAGCAAAGAATTCTTTAACAGGTTTTTTTTTTTTTTTTGCCAGTTCTGGATTTTGAACTCAGGGCCTGAGCCACTTTGCTCAGTGTTCATGCTATGCCATTTGAGCCACTGCTCCAGCTTTCTTTCTTTTTTTGGGGGTGGGGGGGTGTAGTTAAGTAGATAAGAGTCTTGTCAACTTTATTGCCTGGGCTGGCTTCAAGCTAATATCCTCAGATAACAGTCTCCAGAGTAGCTAGGATTACAGGCATGAGCCACTGGTGCTCGACACATGTTCCATTTTTTAAAATCCACTTACCACATTTTATTGGCATATGAAAATTTATTTATTTATTTATTTTTGGGTCCGGTCATAGGGCCTGAACTCTGGGCCTGGGCACTGTCCCTCAGCTCTTCAGCTTAAGGTGAGCACTCTACCACTTAAGCCACAGCGCCACTTCCGGCTTTTTTTTTCTTTTTGCTTATGCGGAGGAATCGAACCCAGGGCCTCAGGCATGCAAGGCAAGCGCTCTACCACTGAGCCGCCTTCCCAGCCCCTAGCCCACTTTTATTTTATTTTATTTTTTTTGTCCGTCATGGGGCTTGAACTCTGGGCCTGAGCACTGTCCCTCAGCTCTTCAGCTCAAGGCTAGCGCTCTACCACTGAGCCACAGCACCACTTCCAGCTTTTTTCTTTTTTTTTTTTTTTTGGTCCGGTCGTGGGACCTGAAGCCTGGGTGCTGTTCCTCAGCTCTTCAGCTCAAGGCTAGCGCTCTACCACTTGAGCCACAGCACCACTTCCGGCTTTTTTTTTTTTTTTTTGCTTATGTGGTGTTGAGGAATCGAACCCAGGGCCTCATGCATGCAAGGCAAGCGCTCTACCACTGAGCCACCTTCCCAGCCCCATCCAGCTTTTTTCTTTTTGCTTATGTGGTGCTGAAGAATTGAACCCAGGGCCTCAGGCATGCAAGGCAAGCCTGAGCCACCTTCCCAGCCCTGGCATATGAAAATTTATAAGAGTGGTCTTTATTAATTTTCAGGTAGTCATGTTTTGCCCAGGTGATCTCAGATTGTGGTCTTCCTCATCTTCATTTTCTGTGTAGGTGGGATTACAAATGTAAGCCATAGTACTTGACCTAGAAGTGGTCTATTTATTATCAGTGCGGGCTTCATGTAGACTGTTGGCAGAGATTCCCTTCCAGCTCAGGGGAAGGTGGCATGGGCTGGGCAGCACTGGATACCAGAGGGGTTTGTGGAAGCAGCTCTTACACGGCCTTTCCTTGCCCCATCATCTTCAGGTCCATGGCTGACACTGCCAGACAGACAGCACTCAAAAAATGATATGGCCATAATATAGTTTTGAATGGAAGACTCTTAATAGACAGATAGAAACAAACAGAACAGACAACATCTGAAGGAGTTCCAGACCCTCTCATAGCAGTAGAGGTAAGCTGCCTTCCTTCTTGGTGGTGGTACTAGGATTGAATCTGGTCTGACACCTCCTGCTGGGGGTGGGCTGGAGAGCTCTGGGGTGGTGCCTGTGTCAGCAGTGAGCTGGAGTGGAAGCAGGTGGATGCAGCATTGCAGGCATCTTGTTGCCTCTTCTGTTCTTTTTTTTTTGGTTGGTCGTGGGGCTTGAACTCTGGGCCTGGGCGCTGTCCCTCAGCTCTTCAGCTCAAGGCTAGCACTCTACCACTTGAGCCACAGCGCCACTTCCGGTTTTAGAGTGGTTTATTGGGGATAAGTCTCTCGGACGTTGCTGCCTGGGCTGGCTTTGAACTTCGATCCTCAGATCTCAGCCTCCTGAGTAGCTAGGATTACAGGCATGAGCCACTGCCCCCCAGTGCTTCTTCCGTTGTTCTTGTGCCACCACCTGGCACTATGCCATTTTCTTTCTAGCTGTTCTCTTTGGTTAACATTTACCACAGCACCGAAGGACACAGTGGGATGGATGATACAGAAAGACTGAGCAGGGAGGATCCGAGTATAGGCTTCTGAGGACTCTGACAGAGTCAAGGTCTTGGGCATCAGCCAAGGAAAGCTGACCTATTCTGAACCTGTTTTTTTGTTTGGAATGCAAAGATGCAACAAATGCTTCTGGTTGTCAGAGCCTCTGCTGCTCCTCAGCCTCTCAGCTTTTCTAGTAGATTTGCCGGAAGTGCCCCTTTAATTTTTGGCAATTTTCTGGAGGCTCATGTGGCAAATGGCAGCTGCAGGATCCCTGGGCTTAACTTTGCTTGAGGCACCAGCCTCCCTTCCGTCTCTGCCCTGTATTCGAAAGTGATCGTGGGCTGCCTGTGTCCCGGTCATTGGTAGTGCAGGGAGAGGAATGGCTGAAAGACACTCTACCTGTAGAGTTTGGAGGGTTCCCTGTCCCTTCTGAACTCTGGAACTTTTCCACATTCCTGTTCCTCTCCTGCCCGCCTTTGTAGCAGTCCAGAGCTTGCTGGGTTCCCACATGATAATAGATGCCAGAGCACGTCTTTCTCAGCATGGGATCCAGTTTCCCCAAGTAACCAGGGTCTCTCCATACCAAGGGATTGTGGCCGGCATGGAGTTTGGTGCTATCTGTCTGTGAAGGGCTCAGGGCACAGGTTACTCTTGAACTCTAATATTCAAGAATATTGGAAAAGGAATCAGTGAGTAGCACGGTGGCTGAAGGTGTGACATAGGCTAGTACTTCCACAGAGCATCTTCCTGAAGGTGCTTCCTCTGCATTACTAAAGCACTTGCATAGGAGGATAAGGAGGAAAGGGAAGAGGAAATCCTCAGAGTGCAGGAGGGAGCCCTTGAGGCGGGAGGGAGTGGTGCTGGGGTGTGGGAGTGTCACCAAGAGGGATGCATGGGGCTCTGGTAGGAAACGTCACTTCTTGCTTGTTGCTCAGTTTTTGTGCTCTCCTGGTATCTCAGTAACTTCTATTTCCAGCCTTTCACTCCTCTGCTGTTTGTCCTGGCCTCCTGAGATCCCATGAGAATGTCGGGTTCTCAGGCTGGCCTGGAAGGATGATGATGACGCTGGAGGACTAGGGAGGTAGCTTGCCCTGGGATGTGTTCTCAGGCATGGGTCTCAGTTCAGCCTCCAGCACAGGAGGATAAAGAAAATGGGAGGGAAGACATTCTGCAGCTCCTTTCAGCCCCTGCCACCCCTAATTTGCGAGGTGGATTTTAATTGTGGTTGAGTTATGTATGTTGTGAGAGCTGATTGATGTAGCTTCTCTCTTCAGGCTTGTCAGCTGACCTCTGTCCTATGTGCTCAGCAGCCCCATGTCTTTAAGAAGAGCCTAGAACAGGATGCTTTTAAGGTAAGAAACCTGGGCATTTCTTTAAAGAGCACAATATAAAAGTTCAGGGTCAGAGTTCCCTTGGGTTCTGTATCTCAGCTTCCTGGTCCACAGTGCCGGTTGCACTGGGAGAAAGGCTGCATTTGGCATCAGGCAGTTGGCTGGGCAGCTTGCTCTGGACGTGGTGGGATCCATGGGAATCCTGGAATTCCTGGTCTGAGGAGTCCCCAGGTTTGGCCTTCCCTCTTTTAGGAAGGTGTTGCAGCTGTAGTTCTCAAGTTCTGGTTCCTGCGCCAAATGCCATCTGTGTCACTTGGGTGTTTTAAAAGTACAGGTCCTCAGGGTTGGGAGAATGTTTGCCTTGCATGCATGAGCCCCGGGGTTCAATTCCTCTGTACTACATAAGCAAAAAGGCCAGAAGTGGTGCTGTGGCTCAAGTGGTAGAGCTCTAGCCTTGAGCTGAAGAGCTGAGGGACAGTGCCCAGACCCAAAGTTCAGGCCCCATGCTGGACAAAATAATAAATAAAAAGTGCAGGTCCGGCCCATTGTGTGGTGAATGAGAAATTTGAGTCTAGAGCCCACAATGCCCATTAGTATGCTCTCTGGGTGATTCTTAGCCATGCTAAAGTGGGCAAAGCCCATGTTAGGGAACCTTAGGAAACTGGGCAGCTGCTGCAGTTATGAGCTGTCCGTCTATTGGCTATCTCATGGCCTCATCCTAGTGTGGTTCTTCCCTAAGCCAGAGGCGGTGACCTCCCTTCTCAACTGTTACCCCTGTATTCGAAAGTGATTATGGGCTGCCTGTGCCCTGGTCATTGATAGTGCAGGGAGAAGAACTGCTGAAGGCCTTTTCCCCGTGTTTGGAGGGTCTGCTCCATCCCTTCCAAACCCTGGTGCTTTCCTACATGTCTCCCTTCTTACCAGCCCTGCTTCCTTTCAGGACCCAGCGCTGGGGCATATGGAAGGGGGGGTGGAAGCAGGGTTTGGTTTTGCCGAGTTCTTGCATGGTTCCCCAAGCCATGCAGGTTTGTCCTCTTGAATGAATGGTGAGACTGGAGTGCTAGGCCTCACCACCCACATCTGGAATGCTTATAACCTGCCAGCCTCTGTGCCAACTGTGCTCTCTGTCTCTTGTAGGTGGGTTTGTTGGCACAAAGGCTTCATGGGACATGTCCTTCAGATGCAGGGCACCAGACTGTGAAGCCTAGCGGTAAGATTTGTGGAGTGTATGCTGGAATATTGCTTCCTCTTTTTGAGCCCTCTAACTCCATGTTCATGTCTCCTGAGGGACTGGGTGATGAAGTAGGGGGGTGGGGCGAGGTGAACTTGCCCCCGTGTGCCTCAGTTGTGCCCTTTTCTAGGAACGGCCCTCCTGCCCACAGTAACTGCAGAAGAGGAGCCTCCAGACCAGACTCCTTCAGTGTTGGTTGCTCCTGAGCCCTCATCCTCCTCCTGGGCACTGGAGGGTCAGCAGTGAGAGGAATGTGAGCTGGGCCACCACGGGCTCTGGGTCTCTTTGAATTTGTCTACTTGATCTGTTCCCAGCCTCTACTTTGTCTGACAAGGTAACTGGAATAGCAGGAATTTTATTGTTTTGTGTTTTTCTTGGTAGCACTAGAGATTGAACTCAGGATCTTACTTGCTCGGCAGATGTTGCACCACTTGAGCCATGTCCTCAGCCCATTGTTTTTGTTTGTGCTGGATCAGGGGCTTGAATTTAGGGCCTTAGCATTTGTGCTCAAGGCTAGTGCTATACCACTTGAGCAATACTTCCAGTTGAGGCATCTTTTAGAGGGTGATTAATTGGAGATAAGACTCCCACTGGCCTTCCTTCCTGGTCTGGCTTCAAACTTTGATCTTCAGATCTCAGCCTCCAAAGTAGGTAGGATTTTGTTTAATAGCCAGGCTGGCCTGAATTGTAATCATCCTTGTATTTCCGTGTTGATCGGGATGGGATTATACAAACTTTTCTGTTTTGATTAGCCTTGACCCATAAACCTATCTCTACCTCCTACACAGCTAGGATTACAGGCTTGAGCCACTTTGCCTGGCTTTGTTTTGTTTCTCCACATTCTCCAGACCTAAAACATTTTTTTAAGGCTGGAAGTATCTTGACTGCCGTGTGGTGTTTGTAGGATACAATGGCAGCTGCTTGGGACCCTGCTTACCTGTACCACTCTCCTAACTTGAGTCATTGCCCAGGCCCCTGGCACCAGCCTCCCTTCCTGGCTCTACCTCTGACCCTTCTGTTCCTGCATCCGAAAGTGGTCGTGGACTGCCTGTGTCCCGGTCATTGATAGTGCAGGGAAAGGAATGTGGAGAGATGTTTCCCCGTGTTTGGAGGGCTTCCTTGTCCCTTCTGAACCCTGGAGCTTTCCCACACTCTGGTCTTTGCTGAGCTTGTGTGTTTTCCAGCTCTGTGCAGCATGACTCAACCAGATCTCTGGCTTGTTGGGGTTCCCTTTTGTCTTTGTAAGCTAAGCAATCACCTGCTGGACATCAGTCTGTGCGTTTCCACTTGGCCCCTATCCTGAGGAAAATCAGATGGCATCTGGGGCTTTAGTCAGGTTCTGCTTTATGAAATCTGAAGGAGTGGGGGGGGTAGTCCACATAGTTAATGCACTATTCATAGTGGCCTGTGACTTCAGGCTTGCTGCTGTCCTGTTTCTTGAGCGCTGACATAGGCACTGCTTTCTCTATGAGTGACCAGGAAAAATGTCTGGAGAAAGAAACAGGGAAGGCCAGGCACTAGGGCAAAGAGAAGCGAGAGGCTCTGTGATGAGCTGGGCCGAAGGCAGTGCTTGTGTGGTCTGGGAGCTGCTAGGATGGTTGCTTGAGCTTTGGTTGGTGTGCAGTGGAGCCTCCTTGCCCAGCTCCTGGCAGTGGTCCTGGGCTGTCTTCTTGCCCTGATAGTGAACCACTAGAAAGAAAAACCCACTGACTCTAGAAATAATTTTTCTGATATTTTATCTTTTTTTTTACCCTCTCTGTCCTTGGGGTTTCTGAAACTTTTTAACAGTTACTAGGGTTTGAACTCAGGGCCTTGTGTTTGCCAGGCAAGTGTGCTACCATTTGGGGAGGGGTATTTTGCGATGTGCATAAACTAGAAGCTTAGGACTGCTGGTGAGGTCCTCTGTGATTAGCTTGGGAAGTAACGGTCATGAGAGGCCCAATACTTGTCTGCTTCCTCCTAGGTCTCCCTCTGAGATCCAGAGACTATCAAGGGAGCTGAGTCCTCAGAATCTGAGGCCCCAGAGCCAGAGCCCCTCAAGGAGGTTTGGGTACCGAGTATTGTGCTGACATTCTCATCAAGGTGAGTCACGGACAGGGCTGGACCCACAGCCAGGGCCTATGCAGCTTTGTGCTTATGTAGGTGGATTCCTAAGCCATCAGTCTCATTGACTGCCCTCTCTTGTAGGTTCTCTTGGCGTTGATTGTGGATACCAGGATTTAGAGTGCAGAGAAGGGTCACCACATGAATCAGCTCTTCACTCTGCACAAGAAGCACAGATGTGATACTCTAGCCTGCTAGTCTTGACCACAGTGCCTATGAGGGCTGAAAGCCCCATGTCTATCTTTCCAGGCTTGGAATGACTAATAAACTCTTTTCCTCTAGATTTATGGCAGCCTTTAATCTTTTGTCACCTGATTCAATAAACTATGTAGATGGCCAGTCTGCCTTTGGAATCAGTAACAAGCCTGTGAGCCCATGGGGCAGGGGCGTAGAAAGACAAGCCAAAGGCTTGAGTTTCTTGGAGGTGTTGTTTGGTGTGTACAGTTAGAATGACATCGAAGATTGAGGCTCCCTTCAGAATGAGGACATTGTGGAATAAGCCAGTGTCCATGGGATATGGAATGAAATGGCTCTGGTGTCATTAAGGAAGGCCAGGATGTGCCAGGGTTCTGAGACAGTGTTGGATGGAGCAGTCCCTACAAAGTGGGACTTCACTGTTAAAGACAGGGATGGTGGCCAGGCTGGGACTGTAAAGTGCATGACAAACAAACTGAGGCCTTGGTCAGGCTAATCTGTACCATCCATGGGATGATGGGCATCAGGAACTCCACCCTATTTTGCGGAGGGTAGGTCTGCATGGCAGAAGTAGATCACAGGGAAATTGAAACCTTAGGTAGTGTAAGCATTCTCAGGCCAGAACCCTGCCAACTAGCAGCAGAAGTATCCAGAGCCCCTCTCTGTCTTGCCATGCTTTCAAAGGCCATCCCTCTCAAACATTGAAGGGGCTGCAGGAAGGCATCTGGGGCCACTGCTGAAGAAAAGGAGCAGCAAGATGCAGGCTAAGACCAAAGTTCATTGTGTAGAACCTAGGCCATGCTACCTGGCACTAGGTCATGTGCTTTGAAGGGTCCTGAAATTATTCATACTGTCCATATCAGTATTTGCCTAAATGGTCAGTATGCTTGCAAATTAATCTGAGAATGGGAAATAAGGTAGTCAGATCTGCCAGGAGACTGTCTCACTGTCTGCAAAGCTCAAGCACTGCTTGTATGCCGGGCCCTCAGCTGAAGGCCACCATACGAATGGTGTGATCCAAAGCAGGAATCAGATCTGGCGGGTGGTGGCTTGTGCCAAGGGGTCACTTCCCAAACCAACTTTGATAGGGCTGAAGAAGCTGAGGCGAGCTGCTCACAGGATAGTAGACAGGCACCCAGCAACTCAAATTACAAGTCAGATCCAGTGGATACCAGAATGACTAGAACCTACAAATCCTGAGAAGTGAATGTAAGTTAAACATAGACCAATAAGGCCATTGTACCTCAAGTTCTGTGAGAAATGGCCCAACAGCTGAGAACAGCAGAGCTGTGACTGGAAAAACTATGGTCTCAGGTATGTACTTATGAGTCTCAGTCTATGGCAGAAAGCATTTTGACTGAATTTTGGTATGACCCTTGATAAAGACCATCAAGGAAAAATCTTGCCCACAAAGTCAGGTTTGGTGGCAGTGTCTGGAGGCATTTTTGGTTAACTGAGTATATGATAGCTAGTGGGTAGAGGGTAGGGATGCTGATACATAAAGATTGTTGAGAGAATGGTTGATAGAAGCACAATTTGAAGGCAGATACTCTTGCTTCAACTATTATATTTATGACCAGGTATGAATGTGTTAGTGAATTTTCTAATGAAACAAGGCTTGTACAAAATTGTTCTTTCTCTGTGCATTGTTCCTATTAGACTAGAAATTGGCAAACTATGACCCACTGCCTAATTTTTTGTATATGAAGTTTTGTTGAAATAAGTGTTGGTGGAATAAATAACATTTGCTATCTAGAAGCTGCGTGTTTCTGTGGTCCCATCTCCACCAGAAGAGCTCAGGAAGTGACAGAAGGAGGCTTTGAACCCATTAGTCTGATTCTTGTTCCCTTAACTATGACACTGAGTTGTGCAACTGTGCTGATTCCCATGTTTAATATCAGGCAGCTCTGAGCTATGGTGCATGGCCACTACTTGTGCTTTTCTTTTATAAGAAGTACTAGAATTATAAGGCAGAATGGAACCCAAGTTGTTCTCCCCAGGGTCAATCCAAGAGACTGCACAAGGATGTGAGAAGGACTTTTAATAATGGAAGAGAAAAGTTGGGAAGTTGTCTCCTGATCAAGTGTGTCTTCAGATAGATGTCCTTCTGGGGACCTTTCCTATGAGAGGAGGCAGAATGGCTGAAGCCTGGGTCAAACGAGCAGGTCCAGCTGTAATGTTTGTCTGCTCTTCCAGTCACAGGTAGTCTTGTCTTCAGCCTAATTGATATCAGCCCCTAAAAGCAAGAAATTCTATAGAGAACAAAAAGGATAGTCAAGAAAGGTCATTTAGCAGGGCATGGATGACTCGTGCCTGTAATCCTAGCTACTCAGGAGGCTGAGATCTGAGGATCATGGCTCAAAGCCAGCCCAGGCAGGAAAGTCTATGAGACTTATCTCCAATTAGCTGCATGTGGCACTGTGGCTCAAAGTGATAGAGCACTAGCCTTGAGTGAAAAGGGCTCAGGGACAGTGCCCAGTCTGAGTTCAAACCCTGCAACCAGCCAAAAATTAAAAACAAAGAAATTTAACTTGCTTCCTATAAAGGAAGTCTGCTGGCAGGGCCAAGTTTTTGGAGTTAGAAGCCAGGCCAATGCAAAAACCAAGCCTTTAGGCCTTGAAAGTCTTACTAATACACTCTCCCTCTTAGTGCCCTGCCTCCTGAGCTATTGCTTTCCAGAAGACATCCGTAAATGTCATGTTCCTCTTCTCCAGGAGAACAAAACCCCCTAAGGCTGCCTGAGATACTCATTTTATGACTTGGCTGTACAGCACTTTTTTCGAGTAAGAACATCATGAACAATGAAGGTGGCTAACGTGCCTCTGGATGTGGATTAAGAAGTGCCCTATTGATGTGGGTTTTTTGTTTTTGTTTGGTGCCGGTCCTAGGGCTTGAACTCAGGGCTTGGGTGCTTTCTCTGAGCTTTTTTGCTCAAAGCCAGCACTCTACCACTTGAACCACAGCTCTACTAGTGGCTTTTATTAATAATTGAAGATAAGAGTCTCACAGATTTTCCTGCCTGCTCTAGCTTCGAACCTGGATCCTCAAATCTCAGCCTCCTGAGTAGCTAAGTGTGAACCAGTGGCACCCAGCTCACTATTGTGAGCCAGGCTTCCCTGAGCTCTTTTGTGCTAGCATTCTACCACTTTGAGCCACAGTGCCACTTCCTGTTTTGTGGTAGTTAATTGGTTAAGAGTCTCATGGACAGCCGGGCGCTGGTGGCTCACGCCTGTAATCCTAGCTACTCAGGAGGCTGAGATCTGAGGATCACGGTTCAAAGCCAGCCCGGGTAGGAGAGACCATGAGACTCCCATCTCCAATAAACCACCAGAAAACCGGAAGTGGCGCTGTAGCTCAAGTGGTAGAGTGCTCCCCTTGAACTAAAGAGCTGAGGGACAGTGCCCAGGCCCAGAGTTCAAGCCCCATGACCGACCAAAAAAAAAAAAAGTCTCATGGACTTTTCTGTCCAGGCTGGCTTTGAACCGTGATCCTCAGATCTTATCCTCTTGAATAGCTAGGATTACAGGCATTAGCTACTAGCGCCTGGCTTGATATGGCCGTTTGAGCATTCTACACACATGGCTAACACATCGCTAACACATATCTTGCATGTGTCAGGTACCCAGCACCTGCACTGGATTGTTGGGAATGGAGCTACTCTACAGATGTCAAGATTGGCTGGCTGGGAAGGTGGCTCAGTTGTAGAGCGCTTGCCTTGCATGCCTGAGGCCCTGGGTTCAATTCCTCAGCAAAAGGAAAAAAGCCGGAAGTGGTGCTGTGGCTCAAGAGGTAGAGCGTTAGCCTTGAGCTGAAGAGCTGAGGGACAGCGCCCAGGCCCAGAGTTCAAGCCCCACAACCGGAACCCCCCCCCCCCCAAAAAAAAAAAAAAACAACAACAACAGATGTCAAGATTGGTACCTGCTATTGATGCTCTAAAGTTGAAAACAATGATTTTCCTATCTTTAAAAATGAGGCCTAGGATGTGTGGGAGTCGGGTTTCCCCCAGCTTCACCACAGGTCTATGTCCCTTGACACAGGTCCCATTTCTTACCTTGTGAACCTGGAGATCCATGTTCTTGAGGAAGGTGTCTCTTGGAAGAGGGAGTGGCAAACCCTCTTCAAGCTTTGCTGAAAGATGGACAGCAGAGAGGTGAGCTAGTGAGCTGGGCACACCAGGAAGTGTGAAAACAGATCACAACCTTGGGGTCAGTGCTAGCATTCAGGGGACATGTAGGCAAAGGTCTGGGGAAGGCAGCTCCTTCAGGGTGGACCACCATGGACAGCCCATCCAAGCGTCCCCGCCACCACCCAAAGTGATGGGGCTAGCACACTGGTCCTCATTCCTGAGGTCCACCTCCTTCCCTTCTGTCTCTTTGCCAGGCCACTCTTGCTGTTCTTAGCTCCGGGGTGTAAAAGGCTAGGAAGAGACCAGTTGGAGAGATATGGGGAGGGCTGCTGATTCTCAGGCAGCCCTTGTCCAAGTTTACCTCCAACAAAGTCACCTTGCTTGACCTAGCAAGTCTCCGACAGTTTCCTCTTCCATATTCTACCTTCTCACCTTCTGATACCCAGCTTGCCCCCTCCTTCCTGATTTCTTAGTTCACAATAGTGCCTCTTCCCAGCTCCTATCCTTCATAGAGGACCCTGGAATCCTATGGAAAGGGTGGATCTTAGTTTTGGAGCTATTCTTACCATTGAGGGAGGGATATATAGTGTTGAGTGCATAGTAATTCAAGATTGCATTCATCAACGGCATCTAGAGCATAGGAGGGGCCAGAGCAAAAAGACCAAGACAGGAATGAGATAGTCAATGGAGGAACATCTGACCAACCTCTGGATCATTGACCTGTCATAACCCCTACCTCCTAAAGCCAGACCCCCACGTCTCATCACTCTCCCTAAATGTAAACTCATTTGATGGTGCGCCATGGAGCTTGAACTCGGGGCCTAGGCACTGTCTCTGAGCTGCTTTTGCTCAAGGCTAGCACTCTTATCACTGGAGACACAGCTTCACTTTCATCTTTTTTTTTTTTTTTGCCAGTCCCAGGCCTTAAACTCTGGGCCCTGGCACTGTCCCTAAGCTTTTTGCTCATCGCTAGTGCTCTACCACTTAAGCCACAGCACCAATTCTGGCTTTTTCTGTGTATGTGGTTCTGAGGAATCGAACCCAGGATTTCATGCATGCAAGGCCAAACACTCTACCACTAAGCCACTTTCCCAGCATTTTCATCTTTTTTGTTGTTTTCGTGGAAATAAAAGTCACATAGACTTTCCTTCCCAGAGTGACTTTGAACTGCAATCCTTAGATCTTAGGCTTCTACATAGCTAGGATTACAGGCATGAGTTATGGGTGCCCAGCTATATTAGATATTTTGTCATCATGTCTTGCTTAACTCATTGTCTACCTATTACAGCTACCACTTGAGATAGATGCTATTACAATTTGAGGAACTAATGTTCAGGAAGGTAAGTGACTTGCTCATGGTCCCACAAGCAGGTAGCAAGGCTGGTATCTTGCTCCAAAGCTCAGGCCCTCTGAGCCTTTAGAACCCCTTTAGAACCTCTCATTCATCAATAGCTTTCAGATCTGGGTGTCCTATCTGGGACCTTGGCATATGTCCTGGGGCCCATGAAACTGCTAGGCAAAGACATTCGGGAGGCACTGAGAAAATAACTCACATTGATGTAACTGACACTGGAGTGGTTCAGTTCCAGTTCCAGTTTGCTGCATGGAGAAAGAAAGAAGCATGTGTGAAGAGTAAAATTTGAGCAGGACACCCATGGCTCACTCCTGTAATTCCAACCACTCAGGAGGCTGAGATCTGAGGATTATGGTTCAAGGCCAGCCAGGGCAGGGAAGTCTATGAGACTCTTATATCCAATTAGCACCAAAAAGCTGGAAGTGAAACTATGGCTCATGTGATAAAGCACCAGATTTCAGTGAACATGCTAAGGGACAGTCTCCAGGCAATGAGTTCAAGTTCTAGTACTGGCATACACACAAAAAGGTAAAGTGTTCTGAGTAATCATCCAAAAGAAATTATGATGGTATAAATACTAAGTTGGAAGAAAGAATGCACTGTTTCTATTTACATAAGAAATGTGTGTGTGTGTGTGTGTGTGTGTGTGTGTGTGTGTATGTGCGCGTGCTTAGGGCTAGCACTCTACCACTGAACCACACACAGCTCCTCTTTCAGCATTTTGGCAATTATTGTAAAGAGTCTCATGGAAGCTGGGCACTGGTGGCTTATGCCTGTAATCCTAGCTTCTCAGGAGGCTGAGACCTGAGGATTGCAGTTCAAAGCCAGCCTGGCAGGGAAGTCCATGAGATTCTTAACTCCAATAAACCAATAAAAGTGGCACTGTGGTGCAGGTAGTAGAGTACTAGCCCAGACAGGCCCAAGGACAGAGTTCGGGCCCTGAGTTCAAGCCCTAGGACCAGTAAAACAACAAAAAACAACAGAGCCCTGTGGACCTTCCTGCTCTTGCTAGCTTCAAACCACGATCCTCAGATCTCAGCCTCCTGAGTAGCTAGGATCACAGGCATGAGCCAGTGGCACTTGTCAAAAGAAGTGCATTTTTGTTTTTGTTTTTGGGTTCAGTTGTGGGGCCTGAACTCTGGGCCTGGGCGCTGTCCCTCAGCTCTTCAGCTCAAGGCTAGCACTCTACCACCTGAGCCACAGCGCCACTTCCGGCTTTTTTCTTTTTTTGCTTATGTGGTGCTGAGGAATCGAACCCAGGACCTCAGGCATGCAAGGCAAGCGCTCTATCACCTTCCCAGCCCAAGAAGTGCATTTTTGAAAGACTGGTGTTTTCCAGAGACATCTAGTGAGCTAGACTGATGGCTCTGGCCACTGCTGTGATATATTCTTCCCTCTCCCCACACCTCCACCCTGCCCATTGTCCCTTACCTTGCTTCAGTCACTGAACCAACGATCCTACTGGAGTTCATGCTTATGCTGATGGAGACATTAGTTTTCTAGAAAAGCAAAGCCCATTTAGCATTCCATTGGCTCCTGATTCAGGAGACAAATCTATAGCCATTGGAAACCCAGGTCCTATGGCTACATGGACAAAGGCTCCCCAGGATTACAGATGGAGGGTGTGGGGAGAGGGGATCCACAACGGAAAACAGGAAAGCTGAGTTATGAACTCTCCATGTTAGTGGAAGAAGTGAGACCACACTAAGAACTGGTAACTTGTGAGTGAGGGAGTCTTCCATCGGTGACATGACTAAGTGCTTTAGAGAAGGCGATGAAGAGGCCAAAGGATACTCAAGAAGCCCTGAGGCCCTGTAGAAGTAGATACCACCAACTGACATCCTTGAGGGGGAGGACTGCCCTCACTGAGTGTTGTGAAGTCTGGAGGTCCATGGGCACAGGACTTTGTTTTGCCTGAATCCACTTCTCACCAGGAGGTGAGCTCCCGCCTGTAATACCTGGTGAGTATGTATGTGTCAGTATCCTAAAACACTTCCATTTATAACTCATTTGAAGGCTGGATTCTAGTGGCTCATGCCTGTATTCCTAGCTACTCAGGAGACAGAGACCTAAGGATCATGGTTTGAAGCAAGCCAGGACAGAAAAGTCTGTGAGACTCTTATCTCCAATTAAACAGTTAAAAAGAAATAGAGGTATGGCTCAAGTGGTAGAGCACCAGCCTTGAGTAGAAATAGCCAAGCAAGAACACAAGGCCATGAGTTCATCCCCCAAATATAGGGAAGTATGTCTTTCAACTTTCTTTTTTTGAGATTGTGTTGGTTACTCAGGGCCCCTTAAACCGCCATATGAATTTTAGGATCAGCTTTCAGAAAAAAAAAAAAAATTAGTTGATATTTTGATAAGGATTGTAAAAAAAAAATCTAGCTGATATTTTGACAAGGATTGTATTTGTAAGTCAATTTAGAGAGTACTGCCAAGTACTTAAATGTTCTTTAAAAAGGATAATTTGATCATTTTTATTTATAATTTAAATAGAATGATGTTTAACTTTTTTAATGTAGAGTAAATAAAACAAACCAATAAGAAAGTTAAAACATTTCAACTGAGTGAACATGCTAGCTAGTGAGTGAAAGTGTCAAGAAAAAGAAGAAGAAAGAAGGAGCAAGAGGAGAAGGAGGGGAAGAGGAAAAGGAAGAGGAGGAGGGGAAGAGGAAGAGAAGGAAGAAGAATCATTAAGGAATAAAGTGGATGACTAAGAAGTGTCTTGTGACTCAGATGGTACATGACTTGTTACATGATGGTACATGAACTCTGCCTGCGGGAAGCCTGGCTGTATAGTCTGGAAGGTAGAAACCACTGAAGCAGAAACAGCCTTTCCATATCTATCAGCGAGGTCATCATCTGTCAGCCAAGGAGAACCTTTTACCCATGGTGACCATGCCCTTTGCTTCCTGACCAAGGCTACACTTACCACCCTGAACTGGAAGAGTGGCTTGCGTTCAGTGGAGTTGGGCAGGAGGGCAACGGCTTGAATGTTCATGACAGGTGTGAGGGTCACGTTCCCAGGGGTGAACATCAGGAGTGGTTCTGATTCTGGTGATGCCTCAAGCTCGACCTGCATATTACGGTGCAACCTGGACAGCTGGAGTGAGAGGAGAGACCAAGAGAAAAACAGAGGGACCTTAATAGCATTTGGGAAGGCCAGATGGAATTGAATTCTATTTTTCTTTTCTTTTTTTCCTGTCCTGGAGCTTAAACTCAGGCCTGGGCACTGTCCCTGAGTTCTTTCGCTCAAGGCTAACACAGTACCACATGCCACTTCCGGCCTTTTCTGTTTATGTGGTTCTGAGGAATTGAACCCAGGACTTCAGGCATGCTAGGAAAGCACTCTACTACTAAGCCACATTCCCAGCCCTGAGTTGTATTTTTCAGAGCTCCTTTCCAACAGAGAACTATCTTGGTTGGATGAAACACTCAGTAGATGGCTTGAATAGGGGTAGATGGCCACCATACTGCCTTCCAGCGCTACCTTGTCTAGAAGGCAAGTTTGGGACTGTAGCTTAACTGCTCTTTCCTACTCTCTCACCTCCCCCATCACTTTCCAGCATGGCCTTTAAATAAACATTAAAAAAAAAATGGGTGATTATCAGCTTAGCTGCAAATGATTAGCCAGCCTAAGGTGCCCATGCATGTCTAAAAGGGCCTTTGTGCTAGTTGTTTTATCTCCTTCCTGAGCAACCCAGCAGGCAGGGCAGTTGCCGGTAAACAGATGAGGAAAGTAAGGCTCAGTAAGGTTGAGTTCCAAAGCAGGAAATGGCAAACCTCAGATTCAAGTGCAGGCCATCCAAATCCTCATGCTGCATGTGTACTACGATTTAAACTCAGGGCCTAGAGGCTGTCAGTAAGCTTTATCACTCAAGGCTGGTGCTTTATCGCTTGAGCTACAGCTCCACTTTGGGCTTTCTGCTGGCTAATTAGAAATAAGATTCTCATGGACTTTCCTGCCTGTACTGGCTTTGAACCTCAATGCTCAGATCTCAGCCTCCTGGATATCTGAGATTAATCCACCATCACCTCGCTTTTCCTCTACTAATGTAATATTAAAACTCTACCTACAGCTCATCGATGTCCAAACATGGTCCCGGGATCTGGCCCAGCTCGAGGAACCTGAGTTCTCACCTGAGGAACCAGGGCCTGGAGCATGTTGGTGTTGAGTTGCATTGGAAGGTTTAGGGGTCCCTGAAGCAGGGGAAGTAGGAAGTTGCTGGAATAGCAGAGCAGCATTGCCGTCAGAGGGGTGGATCCTGAGTTCATACAGTTTGGCTTCCCATTCTGCTTTCGCCATTTTTTTGCCGAGTCCTTGGCAGCCAGTGTTGTCAGTCTCTTCAGCTGTCAGTGAAGGCAGTCACACTTAACCTCACTGGATGCATGGGTAGAGTGCTCAGGGCTGTTAGTGTTATTTGTTATTTCTTTAGGTGCTGACTAGAGCTGATCATCCCATAAGATCTGGATTTGTCTTAACCCTCTGCTCCTTCCCAGGTGCCAGGACTATGCTGAAGCCTCAGATCTCCACACTTGTTCCTTCTTCTTCTCTCCATAGGCTTCCTGAAAATTATCCTAATGACTCTTCCAGCTCTAATGCTGTCTTGTCATCTAGGAGGACCTTGCATGACACAGCCTCATAGCCTTTCGTTTAACTATGCTAACTATGCAGCAGACTCCCAACCCCTCCTTCCTTTTTAGAAATTTATTTATTTTAATCTTAGGGGCTTTTTTGGTCGTGGGGCCTGAACTCTGAGCCTGGGTGCTGTTCCTCAGCTCTTCAGCTCAAGGCTAGCACTCTACCACTTGACCACAGCACCAATGCTGGCTTTTTCTGCTTATGTGGTGCTGAGGAATTGAACCCAGGGCCTCATGCATGCTAGGTAAAGCACGCTACCACTGAGCCACTTTCCCAGCCCCTAATCTTAGTTTTTTTTTTTTTTTTTTTTTTTATGACAGTAGTAGGGCTTGAACTCAAGGCCTCTCACTTTTTGCTTGGCATTTTTACTCATGGCTGGTGCTTTCTATTTTGGCTTTTTGCTGGTTACTTGGAGATAAGAGTCTTTTGGATTTGCCTGTCCAGGCTGGCTTTAAACTGTGATCCTCAGATCTCAGCCTCCTGAATAGCTAGGATTACAGGTGTGAGCCACTGGTATCTGCCCCCTTCCCCAGCTTAAATTTTTTTTCAGTAGGGGAATTAACCCCAGAGCCTTGAACATGCTAGATAAGCACTCCATCCCTTGGTACTCTCTCAAGCACTTTTGTTTGAATTTTATTCTTGAGATAGAGTCTCATTAACTGCCTAGGTTGGTCTTAAACTCTTAATCTTTCTGTTTCTGTCTCCTGAATAGCTGATACTTCAGGTGTACACTTCTCCAACAAGCTACACCAAGCTCTTTACAGACAACAGCCCATGGTTGTTGTCTCCCTAGCAAAAGGCATCATTAGGATTCATAGGGAAACTGGGGCATGGTTTGGGTTCGAATCTATGTTTGACAGGCTGCCAGGTCTACCTTCTTTCTGGGCTACTTATAGTATCCACAGAGCTACATCCCATCTGAAGCTCTCCTAGGGCCCTCAGCCCCCTTCCTCCACCACTCACGTGCTCATTTGTGACGGTGACATTCATGCGACCAGCCTGGTAGTACACCCTGCTGGCTGTGTTAAAAACATATTCAGAGACTGCGAAGTAAACCATGTGATCATACTGTTGGGGTAACATCAGGGCTGGGGCATCAAAGGGGACTGGGGAGCGCTGGCTTTGGCTGAAGAATTCACCCTGGAGAGAGAGAGAGAAGACTTATCAGTTACTGTAGTTTCTACCAGTGAGGATGTGAGACAGAAATGTCCAAAGCCTGCATGGGGGAGGTCTGCTGAGGCTCGGTGGCAGCTGAGTGATCGGTCTGTCCTGAATATAGGTAAGTGTCATGGCCCTACTGCATTTAGAGCCTGCAGCTGCCTGAAATCCCCCACCATCTCTGCATTCTCTTTCCCCAGCCCAGGATGGAGGAGAGGAGCTCCAGCACAGTAAGCAAGAGTGGGGACTGTGGAGTTATACCCTATATCCTTACTAGCTGTGGAACTTTGGGCAAGGTGTCATCTTCCTTTTGCCTCATGGTGTTATGGGATTTCACTGAGCTATTGAGGACCACTTCTCAGAACTGACACGTAGAAGCAAGCATTAGTGAAATACATGAGAAAGTCTCATTAGACAAAGTAGTCCACCAAAGCCTGGCTTAGCCCACAGGGGAGTGTCAGAATGAACAGGAGATGAAGAGGAGTGTATGTATGCATTCCTTACTGCTGTTATGACAGATAGCTACAATCTCAGTGGCTTTAAACAATACAGATTTGTTCCCTTCCAGATCTGAGGGCCTGTGCTTCTTGTGAAAGCTTTAAGGACTCTGTCCTTTCCACCTGCAATCCTGCCCCCACCCCCTGTTACCTCACCCCCTGCTTCCATTCTTACCATCCTTGTTCTGTGTCTCCTGTCTTCCTATCCCAAGGACCTGGGTCACAATGAGCCCAGCAGGACAGACAAGGGTAATCTCTCCATCTCAACATTGGCACATTAGTTACACCTTCCCAGTCCCTTTTGCCATATGTAGGAGCATTTACAGATCCAAAGAGTTAGGATGTAGCCATCTTGGGGAGCCATTTTCCAGGCTATTGTAGGGGTAAGGCAGGTAACAATGAAGACACTTTATACACACACCATGGCTAAGTACTTGCTAATCTCTTTCTGGTCATTTCACTTTATCCCCACAATACGTGCAGGCAACCTTGTTACCATTCCATTTTCAGTAGAGGCTCAGAGATATTAAGCAATTTTCCCAAGGTCCCCTCAGTACATTTAGCAATAGAGCCAGGATTCAAACTCACCTTCTGGACTTGAGGGATTTACCATGTTGGCCCACAGACCCTCAACCTTAGGTGTTAGTCTGCAGTTCCTAATGCCCCATCTGCCCATTGTGGGCACCAGGCAGAGATGGAGACTAAGATGTAGAAGGACAGGAAAGGCAGGGGAGGGGCTGACTCAAGGAGATGGGACTGATTTCCTAGCGGTACTCAGTTCTAAGCATGCACCCCCACCCAGGCCCTTACCTTGAAGAACACATTCAGGTCTTCAGAGGACACTTGGGGATTTTCTACCAATCTGTAGTCGATACCAGAAATCTGGTCAATTGTTGTGGTGACTGTGAGACAGGAAAGAGGCAGCCTTATGAACCAAGTGGTCCTGCACAGATGTGTAAACTCTGAGGAATTCATTCACATGAGCTATAGTCTTTGGAGGATAGAAATGGTACTGGAAGTGAGCTATGGTACTTGAAGCTAGAGATAATCAGGAGAGAGCAGGGAGAGAGATGTTGCCTTTTTTTTTTTTTCTTTCTTGTACTAGAGCTTAAACTCAGAGCTTGGGCACTGTCCCTGAGCTCCTTTTGCTCAAAGCTGTGGTCTACTACTTGAGCCATAGCAACTCTTCCAGCTTTTTCTGAGTAGTTTCTGCCTGTGCTGGTTTCAAACTGTGATCCTCAGATCTCAGCCTCCTGAGTCGCTAGGATTACAGATAGAAGCCACTGGTACCTGGCTCTTTTGTTATTATTGTTGTTATTGTTGTGGCTGTCCTATAGTGTGGGTGTTATCTCTGAGCTTTTGTGCTCAATGGTAGTGCTTTACCATTTGAGCCACAACTCCACTTTTGGCTTTTTGGTGTTCAGTCGGAGATAAGGATCTTCCTTCTTAGGCTGGCTTTGAACTGTAATCTTCAGATATTAGCTTCCTGAGTAGTTAGGATTATAGGTGTGAGCCACCAGTGCCTGGTAACATTGCTTGAACTCTGGGCCTGGGCGCTGTCCCTCAGCTCTTTAGTCCAAGGCACTCTACCACTTGAGCCACAGTGCCATTTCTGGCTTTCTGGTGGTTTATTGGAGATGAGAGTCTCATGGACTTTCTTGCCTGGCCTGACTTCAAATAGTGATCCTTAGATCTCAACCTCCTGAGTAACTAGGATTATAGGCTGAGCCACCAGGCCTGGCTCATTCATTCATTCTTTCAGTATTTTATGCCAGGCACAATTCAAGGGGCCGAAGAAACATGTAAGTTAGTCTAAGTCCCTATCCTCATGGAGCCCGAAGTGGGTGGGGGAAACATCAAAATACTTGAGCTAATAAATATACAGTGCAGAGGGCAAGGCCAGCCATATAATGGGGGGGGGAGGGGGCAGAGCAGAAGCTGGTAGCCTGGCTTGGACAGGGACTCAGAGAAGCTTCCTGAGGAGGTGGGTGGACCGGGATCTGAAGGAGGAGTGCTGATGGGTGAAGGGGAAGAGGATGTGGGAAAGGACGTGCCTGGCAGAGGGAAGGGTGTGAGCAAGGATTTTGCAACTGGTGGGGCCTTGTATGTCAGAGGAACCAATGGGACTTTATGTGGCTGCATGAGTGACAGGGAGTAGGAGGAACCTGGAGAAGAAGTGTGGCGGGTAGGGCCAGACCAGGCAAGGCCTTATCACCAAAGATTGGGCTGAGTTCTGAGAGTCAGAGGAGTAGCTGTGGATTTAAAGAAGAAAAGCAACCTGTGTGGTTGTTGAAGGTCCCTATGACCTCTGGGGATAGGGCTAGGAGAGGCCTCAGGCTTCACCTAGGAAGCTCAAAGCACATTGAATTGTTAAATAACCCAGCCACAACCCACATGTGACTCTCGCCAGTGAATTTGTGATTCTCTGGGTACCTCATCCTGCCATCAGCTTTTGAAGTCCTTTCCCCAACCCCACAAACCCCACTACTCCATCTCCAACCCAGGATTGCCTCAGGGGTTGATGGTTCCAGAGTATCCAGTGCTATGAATTCTGATGATAACAAGAGGGGGGTCGGGGTGGGGGTGGGGGCTAGAACTCCAAACCTGGAAGACTCTGGAGATAGGGCATCAGATTCGAGGCTGCTGACTTCCTGACCATCTCGCAGATCTGTGGAAGATAGTGAGAAGGCCGGTTGAGTTCTTCCTCCACCTCTCTGCTTGTTAGTGAATGCCTGGTTTCCCCTGTCCTGTGCAGCTTTTGTGTGTTTGCTAGGTGGTGAGGGGTAGGATGGGAAGAAAAGAGAGGCCACTGTCCCCCACAGTCCACAGCATGGAATTGGCAGTGACTCCAATGACAGAGTACCTGCCTAGCAAGCACCAGGACCTGAGTTCAAATCCTAGTACTATAATTTTATATCTATCTATCTATCTATCCATCTCTTTTCTTTCTTGGTACTGGTGATAGAACCCAGGGCATTCCACTTGCTAGGGCTAGGCAAGTGCTTTGCCACTTAGCTACATACTAGCCTCTGTGTGTGTGTGTGTGTGTGTGTGTGTGTGTGTGTGTGTGTGTGTGTGTGTATCTCCAGTCTTGGATGGTGTGCTCTCCCTTAGGTCCTATACATTTTCCACCAATTCCTTTGCCTTTGGCCAGAGAACCTCTCTGCAGAGCCACTTGGAACTTTGCACTCACGGCTCCAGGGGGCTGGAGCCAGTAATGGCGTCTGAAGTGACCATTTCTTGGGCTCAGCCTCCTTGGGCATGTGGTATCCAGATTCTTCTTGGCTCAAGTTTTCCCTATTTGTTTAGCAGAGATGACAACCCACACAGGACTGTTGGGAGCTTCAGTGGTTCTAGGGAAAGCCTCCCTCCCCCTCCTCTTCCCCCCACTTTCCCTAGCTCTTTCCTGTACCAGGCATTACTAATAAGTCTATCACACCTCTCCATCCTCACATGGCATGGCAGATGCTATGGCTGTTCCTACTTCATAGTCAAGGATCCTGAGGCTCAGAAAGGTTAAGACAGTTACGCAAGATACCACAGCCAGATAAGTACCAGATCAACCAACTATAGAGCTCACATAGTCCATGGTAAAGAGTTAAGGAGATAAAATACAATTGAAAGCTGGGTACTGGTGGCTTGTGCCTGTAATCCTAGCTTCTCAGGAGGCTGAGGTCTGAGGATCACGGCCAAAGCCAGACTGGGCAGGAAAGTCTGTGAGAATCTTTTTTTTTTTTTGTCTGCCAGTAGTGAGGATTGAACTCTGGGCCTGGGTTCTGTCCCTGAGCTCTTCAGCTCAAGGCAAGCACTCTATCACTTGAGCCATAGCACCACTTCCTCTGTAAGACTCTTATCTCCAATTAAGTACCAAAAAGCTGGACATTAAGGTGTGTCTCAAGTGAAAAAAGGAAAAGTAAAGTGAAAAGGAAGTGAGTGAAAAAGCTAAAAGGAAGCACTCTGGCTCTGAGTTCAAATGTCAGTGCTGGCACACGTACACATACACACACACACACACACACATTCAATGGATAGAGGACTCTGTCATGATGATAATGGTGAATGTGCTAGATTCATTGTGTAGCTATCTAATTGAATCCTCACCAACCATCTTCAAGTAGACGTCACTGGTTTCATTTTATGAGTGAGGAAATTGAAGGTCAAGTGGGTCCCTTAATGTGCTCTAAGGTACTCAAAGGGTAAACCAAAGATGCACTTCCCATTCACAGAAGCCTTGCCAAGGCCATGAGGCAAGAGGCATCGAAGTTCATCCTCACTACTGTTCTTTGGATGTACACTTGCTATGGGGACCAGGGGAGTCTTATTTAGGAAACCATATACCTAAGGTGAAAAAGATACCCTAGGTTTTCTCCTAAAAAGTTGTAAATTTTACTTCCTGGAAGTAATTTTTTACATGGTATAATTTCTCACCAATATTTCTTTCATGTTACCTACAATTAGATAATCAAATAACATACAGATGGTACTAAGTACCCATTTAGCATAGGTGATCACATAAACTGTGGCAAAGCCTTGACTTTTTCCTTTGCATAGGGAATGAGGAAGATTGAACTCGGCCTGGGCGCTGTCCCTCAGCTCTTCAGCTCAAGGCTAGCACTCTTCCACTTGAGCCACAGCACCACTTCCGGCTTTTTTCTTTTTGCTTATGTGGTGCTGAGGAATCGAACCCAGGGCCTCAGGCATGCAAGGCAAGTGCTCTACCACTGAGCCACCTTCCCAGTCCCAAGGAAGATTTAGTTATGCAAATTCTAATGAGAACATACTTGAGCATGTTAATGACAACATGCTCCCAAATATCAAATATGTAAAGATGAATAATGTATATGCTATCTACCAATTGTATCTTTTTGTTTACCTTTTGTTCCAAGGTTTTTTTGATGTTTTTTTCAATTCTTTGATGGAAGAGGTTTATGATCCAGCTAAAGAAAAGAGAAGAAAGGGTCAGGATACATTTTGAGCCTCCCAAGGGGAATAACCCAACAGTGAGACCCAGACAGATGAGTTTATCCCAAGGGAAGATAACTCTTGTATGTATGATAGTGTAAACTTTTCAGCACCTTTGTCCTGCTTTAAAACCCACTTCTTCATATTCAGCCTAGTTGTTCAATGTGGCTAACCCTACCCTTACCCTCAGCCTGACTCTGATATTGTTAATCACTGTCCAGTATGATAGGTTCAGGGATGAGCATGTGACCCAACATAGACCAATGAAAGCTCCAACCAGGGTTTCCCCAGGGAGTATGGGAAAGGGTGCCCTCTCTTGCTGAAACTGTGAGCATACAGGGCAAGTAAGACCCAGCTCCTAGTAACTATCTTTTCTATTCTAGGATAGGGGGCTTGAACTCAGGGACCCCAGTTTTTGCTTAACTTTTTTTTTTTTCTCAAGGCTGGCACTTGAACAACATCTCCACTTCTGGTTAAGTCTCTGGGATTTGTTTACCCGGGTTGGCTTTGAACCAAAAACCTTAGCTCTCAGCCTCCTAAATAGCTAGGATTGTAAAGGTGAGCCACAAGCGCCTAGCTTCTTTCTTTTTTAATGTTTGAGAGTCTCACTATGTATCCCAGGCCTTGAGTTCATTATCCCCCTGGAGTTTTAATCCTCCTAAGGGCTGAGATTACATGTGTGCAGTGCCATGCCCAGCTTTGAGCCTTGATCTTGATAAGTCTTAAAACATTGGATCTTGGGTTTCATTAGATGAGCTAAATTAGGAGTGAGCTGGATGCAGAGACAGTGCTGCCTGTCCCCTATGAGTACATGGGGTCACTTACCTTAAGGATCCAGATATGTGAACGCTGACCTGGCCAATGGAGTTACTGCAGTGGGTTACAGAGACAGTAGGGTGCCCAGACTGGTCCTTGCCCAAGTTCAGAGAAATGGAGATGGAAATGCCATCCATTGAGAGATCAAAGGTTCCCTGGAGGGTGCTGGTTGGAACAAACGAGAAAGCTATGTAATCAAGGTCATCCTTAAGGAAAAGAATCTAAGGATAATGACCTATATTTGCTCCCATGCTCCCACAACCTAGCTGTGGCTCTTTTTGTGGTTGTTGTTCGTTTGTTGGTCATGGGGCTTGAGCTCTGGGCCTGAACGCTGCCCCTCAGCTCTTCAGGTCAAGGTGAGTGCTCTACCACGGCGCCACTTCTGGTTTTCCAAGTCATTTATTGGAGATGAGTCTCTCGGACTTTACAGCCCAGGCTGGCTTTGAACCGGGATCCTCAGATCTTAGCCTCCTGAGTAGCTAGGATTACAGGCATGAGCCACTGGTGCCCAGCTTAGCTGTGGCTCTTGTCTGGGCCAGTTTTAACAATTATAACACCCAGTGTGTATTGCTTTCTTTTTATGTGCCAGGCACACTGCCAAATGGCTTACTTCTATTTCATTTTACCTATCAATTATTAGCCCCAGACAAAGAGACTGAAGTTTATGCATTCTTGAGTGTGGCTACTTTTGTAAAGTAGACATTTAAGAACTAGAACTTGAATCTAGGATATGTAGGCAGAGCCACATTCCCATCCGGGTACCACTCACATGAATGCCTTTTTCACCTTCCAGTTCCCACTCATAGACATGTAGTTGTTGGATAGAGCTGCTCTGATTCCTTGCTTTGGAAGTAGACTCAGATCTGAGTTCCGGAGCACGAACTGATGAATTTGCAAGCTGAGGAAGGAAGGTAGAAAAGCCAGAATATATCCATTGTGACATGAGCCCTGAATGAGTCCCCAGAGCCTCCTCCAGACCTCCATGCTTATTGGTCTAAACCACAAAGGACCATCCAAGCAGCTCATTCATGTCTGTCCATCTGCTGACTCCTCCAGGGTGCCTTTCCCAGCCTAGACGTCTTTAGCCTTCCTTTGATACTCACTCCATCATGGTTCCAATTTAACTTGCTGACTTGACCTTTACTATCTCCAGGATCCTGCAAGCTGGCTTTGTAGCTGTGCCCTGTCCTCACAGAGAAAGCTGGGGCTCCTCTCCCCCGTCCCCTCCTCCACTCATGACTGCCAATAGGAACAATGGATCGGGGAGTACACTTAGTATGTGTGAGGCCCTGGATTCCATCCCCAGCACTACAAAATAAATCTCTTTACCTGACGTATGCAACTGTAACCCCTCTGTACATCATCTTTATAATAGCTATAAAAAATTAAAAGAAAAAGAAACAAGGATTCACTATCTCATCAGAGCTCACCCACTGGTACCCTGGGCTGTCTGGGGCCACACATACTTTTCTTTTTCCTTTTTTTTATTGTGAAAATACTGTACAGAGGGGTTACAATTACATGGGTAAGATAATGAGTACATTTCTTATCAAGCATTGTTGCCTCCTCCTTTGTTTCCCCTTCCCATCCCCCCTTCCCCCGCCCCACTTTTCTTTTTAAAATAGTGTTTTCAAATTTTTAATTAGTTGCCTTGATTTTTATCTTATCTTTTTTTTTTTTTTTTGTTCCAGTACTGGGGTTAGAACTCAAGGCCTTGTGCTCTACTTTAACTTTTTTTTTTTTTGCTCAAGGCTGGAGCTCTACTTGTGCAAACTTCATTTCCTAGCCTCCTTTGCCTCTAACTTCTAGTTAGGATTGGCCAGTGGGAAGCACTTGAGGGGGGAGTAACAGACAGGAAGAGGGAGAAAGTTACAGTATTTCTCCTGCTTTCTCTGCCTGGAATTGTCTTTGACAGCAATTGCAAAGACGTGTAATTGATTACAAAGATTGCAGTGATAAGCAAAGATTTTAAGACTCATCAAGATCAGGGCTCCGGGCTAGGAAGGTGGCTCAGTGATAGAGCGCTTGCCTTGCATGCATGAGGCCCTGGGTTCGATTCCTCAGCACCACATAAGCAGAAAAAGAAAAAAAAAAGCTGGAAGTGACGCTGTGGCTCAAATGGTAGAGCGCTAGCCTTGAGCTGAAGAGCTGAGAGCGCCCAGGCCCAGAGTTCAGGCCCCACGACCAGACCCCCCCCACCAAAAAAAAAAGATCAGGGCTCAAACCTGACATAGAGGCACACATCTGTAATCCCAGCCTTTGGGAGGTAGAGACAGGAGGATCATGCATTATAGACCTGGGCTACAAAGTGACTGTCTAAAACATTAAAAGGAAGGAAGGAAAGAAGGAATGGAGGAAGTAGAGGGAGGAAGGGAGGAGAGAGGGAAAGAGGTTAGAGGGAGGGATGGACTAAGGAAGGAAGGAAAGAAAGGAAGGAAGGAAGGAAATCAGGGCTCAGCAAATTATGACCTCTGGACCAAATAGAGTCTGCCACCCATTTTTATGAATAAAGCTTACTGAAGCACAGCTCCATCCGTCTATTTATGTTTGTTTATGACTGATTTAGCACTATAAAGGCAGAGCTGAGTAGTCCTTCCAAGCCCATGTGACATACAGTGTTCAAGATATTTACTACCTTAGCCCTTTACAAAAGATCTCCTGGGAGGAGTATGTTTTTTGTTTTTATTTTGGTTGGTCATGGGGCTTGGACTCAGGACCTGAGTGCTGTCCTGGAGCTTTTTCACTTAAGGCTAGTGCTCTGCCACTTTGAGCTACGGCATCACTTCTGATTTTCTGGTGGCAAGTTGGAGATAAGAGTCTTCCTTGAGCCGGGCGCTGGTGGCTCACGCCTGTAATCCTAGCTACTCAGGAGGCTGAGATCTGAGGATCGCGGTTCAAAGCCAGCCAGGGCAGGAGAGACCGTGAGACTCCTATCTCCAATAAACCACCAGAAAACCGGAAGTGGCGCTGTAGCTCAAGTGGTAGAGCGCTCGCCTTGAGCTGAAGAGCTGAGGGACAGCGCCCAGGCCCAGAGTTCAAGCCCCACGACCGACAAAAAAAAAAAAAAAGAGTCTTCCTGCCTGGGCTGGCTTTAAACTGTGATCCTCAGATCTCAGTCTCCTGAGTAACTAGGATTATAGGCATGAGCCACCAGCACCAGGCTCTGGCCAGAGTTTTTCTGGGCCTGGGCGCTGTCCCTTACCTCTTCAGCTCAAGGAGAGCGCTCTACCACTTGAGCCACAATGCCACTTCCAGTTTTCTGGTAGTTTATTGGAGATAAGAGTTTCATGGACTTTTCTTCCCTGGGCTGGCTTTGAATCTCGATCCTCAGATCTCAGCCTCCTGAGTAGCTAGGATTACAGGTGTGAGCCACTAGTACTCGGCTGGCCAGAGTTCTTTATTGGCAGCCACTACTTGATTAACACTCTACTTCCTTTTTTTTCTGATTAATTTGGAGATAAGAAGCTCTTGGATTTGTATGCCTTGGCTAACTTTCAGACAAGATCCTCTTATTTCAGCCTCCTGAGTAGTTAGGATTACAGGCTTGAGCCATTGGCACCCAGTAGTTGCCAACATGTTTTTTTTTTTTTTTTGGTCCAGTCATGGGGCCTGAACTCTGGGCCTGGGCGCTGTCCCTCAGCTCTTCAGCTCAAGGCTAGTGCTCTACCACTTGAGCCACAGTGCCACTTCCGGCTTTTTTCTTTTTGCTTATGTGGTGCTGAGGAATCGAACCCAGGGCCTCAGGCATGCAAGGCAAGTGCTTTACCACTGAGCCACCTTCCCAGCCCCAGTTGCCAACATTTTAAATTGAAAAAAATTTTACACTGAACAATGTGGAGGAAACAACAGTAACAAACAACAACAAAAACCAACCCAGCTGGCTTCTTGGGAAAAAAAATCAGAAGAGCAGATTTCCTTACTGTATCAAGTGTAGATGAGTAGCAGCTGTCCCTCTTTCAATTGGACAAGTAAGTGTTTTTCAGGTTAGCAACACACTACTCTCTATTTCCCTCTGCCCTCATATCAATTCCATGGCCTTCCCTTGCTCTGGCCTATACTGGGACTGACCTGTGAAAACTAAATTTTCGAGCATCCTTTGCAATTAGGATTGGACAATGAGAACCACCTACAGGAAGAATAGTAGATGGAAAGAGGGAGAAAGCAAGAGAAATTCTTCTACTTTCTTTGTCAGGAATTATCTTTTTTTTTTTTTTTTGGTCAGTTGTCAGGCTTGAACTCCTGGCCTGAACTTTGTCCCTGAGCTCTTCAGCTCAAGGCTAGTGCTCTACCACTTAGCCACAGGTCCACTTCTGGTTTTCTGGTGGTTAATTGGAGATAAGAATCTCATGGACTTTCCTGCCTGGGCTGGGAACAGGCTCTACCACTTGAGCCACAGTGCCACTTCCAGCTTTTTCTGCTTATGTGGTGCTGAGGAATTGAACCCAGGGCTTCATGCATGCAAGGCAAGCATTATACCACTGAGCCACCTTCCCAAGCCCTCCTTGTAATTCTTACATGTAGAAAAACTATGCCATTTAAGTTCAAAGGTTTTCTAAGAGTTAACTTAGACTGCAGAAGAAAAGCAGACAGTTTTAAATTCAGACTGCAAAGGGGGCATTATCTAGTGCTTCAAGGTTTCTAAAGGTTAAATGTAAATGTAAATCAAAGCTAAAGTGTGAAGGCTTTAGAAAGGGATTTAAAAATGAGTCCCTGGATAAAAGAAATTTGGGGAGTAAAATTGTCCTAAATGTTTGTTTAAAAGTGGAAAAACAAAAATTAAGACTACTAAAGTTCACATAAGTATTTATGTTTAAGGCCTTGTTGCTGTGTAATGTCTGTTTCTCAAGGGTGTGAGCTACCTTGGATACAGAGCATTTTCCTGCATTCTCTGCTGTAATTGCAAAGGTTTGACTTGGTAACAGTGGTTTCAATTAGTGTCCTAAAGTATATTCAGTTAAAAATTAAGAATATGATTGTTTAATTGCTGTTTCAGTTTTGCTTTTACAAATCTTCTGTAGCAATTACAGGTGGGCACACAGAGGGACAGATGACTTCTACAAGTTTGTTAGCGATAACTTTGATTCTTATAAGTTCCAGGTAACCCATGCTTAAAAACTATTTTTATCGATCTCCTTATTGCTTCAATTGGAGTAAAGGAGCTTTTGATAAAGACTCATTTGATCTGACAACTGCAGTTCAAAGCCAGCCTGGGAAAAAGAGTCTCTGTGAGACTTATCTCTAGTTGTCCAGCAGAGTGCTGGAAGTGGAGCTATGGCTCAAAGTGGTAGAGCACTATCCTTGAGCAGGAGAGCTCAGGAGAGTGCCCAGGCCCTGAGTTCAGGGGGAATTATCCCAGCATGGGAGAGAGATTGCTGGGACAAAATCTTGTCTTGATGACAACAGAGCATCCAGAGGCAGTTGGAAGATACTGCTCACATGAAAGGAGATGGTGTCAGATTTTGGAGACACTTGCGTTTGGCCCTTGAAAATTAATCAGAGCTGGGAGGTTATAAGAAAAATAGTTTGTAGGCATGCCTATCTAATGCCCATGTCTGTCTACTTTGTAACTGGGCAGGGACTTACACCCTTGTCTGTCAGTCATCTGTTGTATTGGGTAGTAAAAAGCTAGGACTGTCATATGGGGGATAGTTTAAAATCCCAGACCCCAGCATCTGCTCAAAGCCCTAATAGGCAGTGAGTTTTGATCTAGCACCAGGCATATAAAGTCATCTGCTCAGGAGAAGAAGTTTGTACCCAATAGGGTATGGACCTGAGATCATGTTCTTATTGAGAGCTATCTAAAAGACTGCACAGGTAACTTAGACATTGTGAGAGTCAGTAAAAATCAGGTTCCCCAGGCAGGCAGGAAAATGCTTTTGTCAATCAGAGTACTATTTCTCCTAAGGACATCTGATACTAGCAAGCCCTTGGTAAGATAGGCAGGCCCAGTGCCCTTTACTCAGCTTAAAGAAGTTATAGAAGATGGATCTTTATCCATCAATTCCCCTTAAGATCAAGGAACTGAACTCATTTTTGAGAAAATGAGGGAGGATAGATGAAAGAAATAGGCATGGAAAAACAATGGTAATTAGTACAGATGCCCTTGAATGTGGAGACTGCATTTGTGAGAGATGGAGGTACAACTTCAAACCTTCTGTGACTTCCCAGGAAATCCTAGCCTTTTTGGAGAAAATCTGGTTAACAAAAGTTGTTGCCCTGGTAAATTGCCCCAGGCCACAGCCTAAAAACTCTCTTAAAAACCAGTGGGTGGGCCAGGTACCAGTGGCTCACTCCTGTAATTCTAGCTACTCAGTAGGCTTAGATCTGAAGATTATGGTCAAGGCCAGCCCCAGCAGGACAGAAAACTCCCTGTGAGACTCTTTAAAAAAAAAAAAAAATTTGCCAGTCCTGGGGCTTGACTTCAGGCTTGGGCACTGTCCCAGAGCTTCTTTTTGCTCAATGCTAGCACTCTACCACTTGAGCCACAGGTCCACTTCTGCCTTTTTTCTATTTATGTGATACTGAGGAATCATCCCCAGGGCTTCATGCATGTTAGGCAAGCACTCTACCACTAAGTCACATTTCCAATCCCCTGTGAGGCTCTTATCTCCAATTAACCACTCAAAAACTGAAAGTGGCACTGTGGCTCAAGTGGTAGAGTGCTAGACTTGAGCACAAAGAAGCTCAGGGGCAGTACCTAGGCCTTGAGTTCAAGCCCCACAACTGACAAAAACCAAAACAAAACAGTGGGACTCCCTAATTCAAAATTGGTGTTCTCAGAGAAAGCAACCAGGAGAATATTGGGAAATATATTCTACTAAAGTCAGGCTCCTGCCTTAGGTTAACTTAAGTCTCTGCAGAACTTGTAAGCAACTCAGCAGGAGGTGTGTAAACCTTCTGAGAAACAGCTGCCACTGCCCAGTCCTGGCATAATCGCTGCAGAACTTGTAGGCAACTCATCAGAAGGTATGTAAACCTTCTGAGAGACAGCTGCTGCTGCCCAGCTCTGATGAAAGTCTCCGCAGAACTTGTAGGTAACTCAGCAGAAGGTGTGTAAACAGTCTGGGAGATAGCTGTTGTTGCCCAGCCTGGATCCAGCCCACTCCTTCCAACCTGAAGATTCAGCTTAAGTTGAAAAGTTCAAAGACTGCCTCATAGCTATCTGGATGGAACTCTACATTGTCATCCTGCCCACCATGGTAAAAACAGATGGGACCCCTGCCTGGCCTCATCACACATGGCTGATTCCTAGAGAAAAGCTGCTTTGGATTTGCTGGAGCTCAGATTTTTTTTGTGTGACCTTCTTTCTGTAGTACATAGATTTGTAAGCCTTACTCAGCCTGATCTGGGAAAGGATTGCTGATTATGTTTAAGCTCCAAACCTCCTGGCTATATGGGTTTCAGTCATATGGAACCAACTTTGACTGTGGGAGACTCCTTAAATTACAGGTAGAAACAGCCCAGGCAAAAATTACAGGGGAATTCTGGCAGCCTTAGAAAAAACATGTTGTTTAGTGCTAATGAAACAGGTCTAGTACAGAAGAGCCTTTTGTAAGTGTTGGTTAAAGTAGCTTGGTTAGGCTCATATTCCTAAGGGCTTGATGCAGCTCTCTCAGTGAGAAATCAATGATTTGATTTCATGTACATAAAACCAGTGGGGAATGAAGTAAGGAGACTGGGTCTAAGCAATATGCCTTGTCCTTACTTCCATCCTGGTGCCTAGCTAGGTGGAGGGAGCTTTCCACCCAGCACTGAAAAGCCTGGAGGTGAGAGAGGCCACTCATTGAATTGCAGATGTCATGCTGTTTAGCCTTGGGAGAGCTTTGTTACAGAGAATGCTGGCCTTTAGTTTCCCTTAAATGATCTGATTTGTTTGCCTCTGATTATCTCCATGTATGGAAAGTTTGAGGTGTACCCCTCATATGGAAAGTTCAGCTGACCCCTGAGCTTGTACCTGAGTATGTCCATATAAAGTTCTGCTTTTTTAAGGCTTGGTCTCCCCCCAAAGCATGTGTTTTTTATTGTTTGTTTTTTTTTTTGGATCCAGTCGTGGGGCCTGAACTCTGGGCCTGGGCGCTGTCCCTCAGCTCTTCAGCTCAAGGCTAGCGCTCTACCACTTGATCCACAGAGCCACTTCTGGCTTTTTTCTTATGTGGTGCTGAGGAATTGAACCCAGGGCCTCATGCATGCAAGGCAAGCGCTCTACCACTGAGCCACCTTCCCAGCCCTGGTTTTGGTTTTTAAAAGCTTGGTTCAAGTTCTGTCCTGGGCTGCAGGTCTTTGAGACAGCAGTCCACCTGCAGACGTGGGCTCTCCAATAAAGACTCCCAATTTCACCTCTCTAAATGCAGCTTCTCTTTTTCTCACTGACTGAATTCCCATACAACCCCAGAGGCTTCTCTCTTTTTTATTTTTATTCCATTTCTGAGTCTGTGTTGATCTTCCTTCCCCTGTAAGTCTTGGTTCCCACCCTTCCTCCTTCGCTGTTTCTGCAGTAGAGAAAGGAGACCTCACCTGTGAAAATCATAGCTGACCGATCCAACCCAACGAATCCTGAAGTGTCCTGAGAGATTGGGCACTGTGATGGTAGACAGCTCCTTCTTCAGGATGGCAATTGCATACTGGTGGGCTGGAGCAGCAAAGGGGGCCAAGGGAAGGATCTTCAATTAGTCTGTTATGTGGCAGACAGCTTGAGGAGCTGGGCTTTGTAATCATGTCACTGTGATTGAATTCCACTTACTGTTGAGGCAATACCAAGTGAATCCCTTAAATTCCTCAACCCTCAGTTTCCCCATCAGCAAGATGGTACTAATGATACTAATTTGATCCTAAGAATTAAATTATTATCAGTGGCTCATACTTGTAATCATAGCTACTCAGGAGGCTAGGATCTGGGCAGGAACATCTGTGTGAGCCTCTTTTGTTGTGTGTTCTTTTGTTGTTGTTAGTGGTGGTGGTCGTGGTCATGGGGTCTGAACTCTGGGCATAGGTGCTGTCCCTCAGCTCTTCAGCTCAAAGCTAGCACTCTACCACTTGAGCCACAGCACCACTTCTGGCTTTTTCTGCTTATGTGGTGGTTAGGAATTGAACCCAGGGCCTCATCCATGCAAGGCAAGCACTCTACCACTAAGCCACCTTCCCTGCCCCTCTGTGTGAGCCTCTTGTGTCCAAGTAACCATCAAAAACAAGAAAAGGAGGTAATGGCTCAAGTGGCAGAATGCCAGCTTTGAGTGGAAAAGCTAAGCGATAGTGCCCAGGTCCTGAGTTCAAACCCCAGTACTAGCATAAAGAAAAGCAAATAAATAAATTCTGTCCATGATTCACAGTGCCAGGCAAATGACCATCATTGGTCCTTACTAGTGCAGCAAGGGCTTGTGCAAGGATCAACTATAGTGGGGCTCTGGAGGACTCGGTTACTGCCACAGTAGAGGGGAGAGGAGTATCAAACCTTCAGCTTTGGCACTGTTGCTTAGGTCATATGTCTTCAATGCAGATTCTGCTCCAGTCAGTCTTGGGTGGATCCCCTAGAGTTTCCACATTAATATATGTCCCACTTCTTTTTTTTTTTCCTTTTTTATTTTTGTCAGTCATGGGGCTTGAACTCAGGGCCTGGGCACCATCCCAGAGTGCTCAAGGCTAGCACTCTACCACTTTTTCTGGTAGTTAATTGGAGATAAGAATTTCACAGACTTTCCTGCCAGGGCTGGCTTTGAATCATGATCCTCATATCTCAGCCTTCTAAGTAGCTAGGATTACAGGTATGAGCCACCAGTGCCTGGCCCTAGCTCTTTCAATGTGAGGGAAAATGGTGGTCTACTCCTACTCCTCCCCCCATCCTCTCCCAGACTCAAGATGGGGAAATTGAAGCCGGAAAGGTGACAAATGCAAAGTGTGGGCAGTGTCAGTACCTCAGCCTACAATAGAATGTCGACACCAGGAGAAAACAGTTCCATCCACTTACCATATTCCAGGCCTTTTCTAGTGATCTGGACCACAATTCCAGGATTGGCAGTCCCTTCTCCAAACCTGGAGCTCCCCATCCATAGCATCAGGACCACAGCCACACAGTGTAGTCTAGCCTGCATCCTTGACTTCAGCCTTTTCCTGACTGAAGGTAACAGTGAAGGCCGAGGTGCTTTATAAAGACTGGGGCTGGATGAGGAACTGAGCCAGCTTGGGGTGGGGTGGGGTGGGGTGGGGGAAGAGCTCAGGACTTTGGGGACAGTTTCCAGCAACTTAGAGAGAGAAGGTTGCTTGTGAAATTGCTGGAGGTTTTTTTTTCTTTCTTTTTTTTCTCTGATGTGAGAGTAGCAGAAGGGTGCCACACCTCCAAATCCTTCCTCTTTCAAGCTTTCTTGTCCACCGCTATCAGCGGAGCCTCCCACATATTACATCTCCAGCTCAACACCCTCCATTCATTCCTCATTATCACTGTTTGAAGTCTAAACACCCAGCCTGGCTGTGAAGGCCACCGCTGAGTGGCTGCCTGCCACCAACCTCTCCAACCGGATCTTCCACGGGTCCAGCCTGCTGGCTGCCTGTCGTCTCTAGCCCAGCTGGAATCCACTGGAATCTGCTGTTCTCCACTTAAGCAAGATCATCTCAAGTCATAAGCACAATAGATGCTCTACTACTCTAGGCTTCCAAACACTTTTGGATGTTTCCCTTGCTTATGTTGCCTTGGAGTCAGTTTTATTCAAGTATAATTTATCTTTATCACAATAAAATGCACATTTGTGTGTGTGTGTGTGTGTGTGTGTGCTAGTACTGGGGTTTGAACTCAAAGCCTTATGCTTTCTTTCTCTCTCTTGGCTTTTTAACTTGCTCTATCCTTGAGTCATCTTGCCATCCTAGTTTTTGGCTGGTTCATTGGAGATGGAGTCTCTCGGACTTTTCTGACTTCAGCTCAAGATCCTCAGATCTCAGCCTCCTGAGTAGTTGGGATTGTAGAAGTGAGTCAGCTGGCTTAAAATATGTACATTTCAAATACTTTGACAGGTGAACATATTTGTGTGGCTACTTCTAACTCAGATCTAGAAACTTCCATCACCTCAATAAAGTCTCTTATGCCTCTTTCCAATCTCCCTTATAGCTACCTATCCCAGAAACCACAGCTCTGCTTTCTGTCACCACAGATTAGTATTTTCTGTTCTAGAACTTCATGTAAATGGAGTTATTGCTGACATCTTCTTTCCTAACTGGCTTCCTTCCTATACATTGTTTTGTTGTTTTGTTTTCTTTTACTTGTCGTCATGGCGCTTGAACCTAGGGCCTGGGTGCTGTCCCTGAGCAATTTTGCTTAAGGCTAGTGGCTCTACCATATTGAACCACAGTGGTAATTCTGGTTTTCTGGTGGTTAATTGAAGATAAGAGTTTCAAAGATTTTCCTGCCCAGGCTGGCTTTGAACTCTGGTCCTCAGATCTCAGCCTCCTGAATAGCTAGGATTAGTGGTATAAGACACTAGTGGTCAGCCACATTATGTTTTAATTAGCCCATGTTGTTCTGTGTATCCATAGATCCTTTTTTAGAGCTGAGTAGTATGCCATACAATAGCTAGAGTGATTCTTTTCTTGTATTATTCATTTTTTGTATTTGTCCTTTTTTTTTTTTTTTTGCCAATTCTGGGGCAAGATGGGACAAATGTATTTTTTTTGAGGCCTAGGGCAATGACTGGAGACTTCTAGGTGCTGCTCTTTCGGGGTCTGAAATGGGATGTTGTAAAAGCTGGCTGTTGTTGATGAGAGAGTGGGAGAGACTTGTAGATGTAGCTGAATACTCCTTAATTAAATGTTCAACATTTCTGGGTGTGGAATTAAACAGGAATCTGACCTAAAAGTAGTAAAGGGGATGGATATAAAATGAAGACAGACATACCCAGCTTTAGCTTGCTTGTGTGTGTGTGTGTGTGTGTGTGTGTGTAAGAGAGAGAGAGAGAGAGTATACTGGGGCTTAAACTCAGAGCCTAGGTGCTGGCCCTTAGTTTTTTTGCTCAAGGCTAGCACTCTACCACTAGAGTCACAGCTCCACTTCTGGCTTTTTGCTAGTTGTAGGTAAGAATTTTCTTTTTCTTAAAATTTTTTATTGTGAAAATACTGTACAGAGGGGTTACAATTACATGGGCAAGATAATGAGTACATTTCTTTTTTTTTTTTGGGTCCGGTCTTGGGGCCTGAACTCTGGGCCTGGGCGCTGTCCCTCAGCTCTTCAGCTCAAGGCTAGCGCTCTACCACTTGAGCCATAGCGCCACTTCCGGCTTTTTTCTTTTTGCTTATGTGGTGCTGAGGAATCGAACCCAGGGCCTCAGGCATGCAAGGCAAGCGCTCTACCACTGAGCCACCTTCCCAGCCCCATGAGTAAATTTCTTATCAAGCATTGTAGCCTCCTCCTTTGTTTCCCCTTCCCATCTCTTCCCAGCCTCCCCCCCCCCCCCGCCCCCCTAGATAAGAATTTTCTATGGACTTTCCTGCCTGGGGATGGCTTCAAATCATGATCCTCAGATCTCAGCCTCCTGAGTAGCTAGTATTTCAGGTGTGAGCCACCAGCACCTGGCTTTATCCTACTTTTAATTACTCATTGAGCATCAGCAGGTCCATATGAAGAGGCAAAGTTTTCAGCATCCTGAGACATCCCACCCCTCCCCCTGTCCTTTTCTCTACTCCACACGTCCTGGGCTCCGCTGACAACCACTTAGGAAAGGAAAGGTTGGTTTTCTTGTTGCAGTACACCTAAATTGCTAGGATCTGAATTTCTGTGGGGTCTGTCTCCTTAACTTTTGTTTAGGGAACTAGTAGAGAATCCTTTTCTTTCTCCCATAGGATGGTGTCAGGGAAGGGGGAGTTTGAGGGTCTTCCTTTTACCTTTAGATTCAACCTGAATGGATAGGTGAAGGACGGGGAAGATCTGTAGTAGGGATGTAGTGACAGGGTTGGACTACAGGACTATTTAGGGGGAAGAATACAGTATCCATAGTATACTCCTAGTGCAAATGTAGAGCACCACACATCACAAGCTAAGGTAGATTAACAGTAGAAATCAACTTCCTCACAGTTCCTTAGACCCAAAGTCTGAGGCAAAAGTGTTGGCAGACTTGGTCCCTTCTAAGTACTAGGACCATGAAGAATCTGTTCCTGGCCAGACACTGGGATCATACCTGTCAGCTACTCAGGAGGCTGAGATCTAAGGATTAAGATCCCAAGCTAGCCCAGGTAGATGAATACATAGAACTCTTATTCCTATTAACCAACAAAAAGCTGGAAGTGGAGGTGTGGCTCAAGTGGTAGAGCACCAGCCTTGAAAGGAAAGGCCAAGGGCTGGGAAGGTGGCTCAGTGGTAGAGCGCTTGCCTTGCATGCATGAGGCCTGGGTTCGATTCCTCAGCACCACATAAGCAGAAAAAGCTGGAAGTGGCGCTGTGGCTCAAGTGGTAGAGTGCTAGCCTTGAGCTGAAGAGCTGAAGTACAACGCCCTGGCCCAGAGTTCAGGCCCCTTGTCCTGAAAAAAAAAAAAAAAAGAAAAGAAGAAAAAAGAAAAAAAAAAAGAAAGGAAAGGCCAAGCAAGAGAGGCCCTGAGTGGAACTGGTGCTGTGGCTCAAGTGGTAGAGTGCTAGTCTTGAGCACGAAGAGGCTCAGTGACAGTGCCCAGGCCCTGAATTCAAGCCCCAGGAATGACAAATAAATAAAATAAGGGAAGAGAGGCCTAAGTTCAACTTTCAGTATCAGCCAAATGCATGCATACATGTGCGCATGCGTGTGCACGTACACACACACACACACACACACACACACACACACACACACACACACACACACACAATCTGTTCCTGACTCTTCACCTATATTCCTGGGACTTGTGGGCTGCCTTTGCTATTCTGTTTCATGCATTTGTGGGAATTATTCTGAGAAGCAAATATTGGGCGTGATAATGATATTTGAATTTCCTGGTTTTGTTAGGTTTTTCTAAATTGCTTTCACAGCAAGTGGAGCACATTTACATGTCAGTTTCATTCAGGGACAAGCTGGAGGACTTGGCTGGGAACTTGAGCTGTCACTCACGTCCTGCTGGTAGCCTGGGGCCACTTCTTGTCCCCTGTGCACCGATTTTTTTGGCAAATTATTTTTTCTTCTATTTTTTTTGGTGTGGGGTTATACTATTAAACATAGGTGCAATGTTATATTTATCAGATAATCTTTTTCTTATTTACAACTATGTATCTTGTTCACAATACTCTCTCAGGCAGAGTAGACTACTCTGTAAATGAATAAAATAAACAAGTGAATGAAAACTGATCATTTTGTGAATTCACTTTTTTCCCCTTGAGAAATAACATCTGAATATCTTTTTTTTTTTTTGGTCGGTCGTGGGGCTTGAACTCTGGGCCTGGGCGCTGTCCCTCAGCTCTTCAGCTCAAGGCAAGCGCTCTACCACTTGAGCTACAGCGCCACTTCCGGTTTTCTGGTGGTTTATTGGAGATAGGAGTCTCACGGTCTCTCCTGCCCGGGCTGGCTTTGAACCATGATCCTCAGATCTCAGCCTCCTGAGTAGCTAGGATTACAGGCATGAGCCACCAGCGCCCGGCTTTTTTTTTTTTGTTGTTGTTGTCAGTCGTGGGGCTTGAACTCTGGGCCTGAACACTGTCTCTCAGCTCTTCAACTCAAAGCAAATGCTCTACTACTTGAGCCACTGTGCCACTTCTGGTTTTCTGAGTGGCTTAATAAGACTTTCCTGTCTGGGCTGGCTTTGAACTGTGATCCTCAGATCTCAGCCTCCTGAGTAACTGGGATTACAAGCATGAGCCACGGCACCCGGCTCATCTGTATATCTTTTTTTTGGGGGGGGGTCTGGTCGTGGGGCCTGAACTCTGGGCCTGGGCACTGTCCCTTAGCTCTTCAGCTCAAGGATAGCGCTCTACCACTTGAGCCACAGTGCCACTTCTGGCTTTTTTCTTTTTGCTTATGTGGTGCTGAGGAGTCGAACCCAGGGCCTCAGGCATGCAAGGCAAGCGCTTTACCACTGAGCCACCTTCCCAGCCCTCATTTGTATATCTTAAAGAGGTACATTATGGCAAAATTCAATACACATATACAATGTGTGCTGGT